GAAGCCTTAATTCTCGGTGTGATAAGTTGAGGGTTAGGTGATACCTGTACATACAGTGGGTTGTATTATTAGTAGGAATCCTGAACATAGAGAACCTGAACCGGAGCCTCTTTATATTGGTCAGTAAGCATGCTTGTCCTTGGCTCCAGATCGAGACACCCCATCTTTTAAGACTGTTTTCTGTACAGGTATCCTTGAAAATAATTGCTCACGCAATATACAGAAATGTAAAGACTCATGAAAAATTGTCTTCCAACATCAGTTTCATTTTTCATTTCAGGAGACTATTTTTTTTTTAGCACACTTTGCCTTTTTTCTCTGATCTGGATTGTCTAGATTAAGGACATTTTAGTTGTGTTGCACAGCTGTCACCTCAGAAATTTCCTTTGTCATCACTCTTGGATTTCCCATGGCCTCTTTGATGTAGATCCTATTTTCTGGATCTCGTGCTTCCTCTTGCCTTGGTTTCCGTTTTGAGGATGTACATGCTGCAGTGCTTCCTGAGAAAGGCTTCGTAAAATATTTTTTAAAAAATGACACCTGTGTACTGAAAATCTTATTCAATTTCACTAGCTTTGATGTTTTGACTTCGTTATAGAATTACAGACTAGAAATAATTATCAGATTATGAAGACATTGTTCTAGTTTTTTTCATTTTCTAGTTTTATATTGCTTTTAAGAACTGATTTTCATCCCTGAATCTTCTCCTGTCTAGTTTTTCATTTTGAAATTATTGTATCTTCAGCTGTCCCTTCTTAACATCCTCCAGTTTTTCTACCCTCTTCATTTTCATGTGATTGTTCATATCCCTGATCATTTTGTACTGACATACTCACTTCCTTTGCTTTTCTCTGTTATACCGACAGCTTTCTAAATTTAGAAAATGTGTGTTCATTTTGATAATCTTACTATACAGTATGTCTGTCATTTATGTGTTCAATGAAGAAGGGTTTATTAAAATGAACTGTTGGAAGCCCTCTCTGGTGGCACAGCGGGTTAAAGCACAGCACTGAGAAGCTAAAGCCACTTCCCCATGAGTTCGATTCCCGCCTGCCCCAGAGGTGACCACATGGCACGGCAGACCTCCTGACCCACCTGCTGCTCCCCTCAGCAGTGTACTTCATCGATCTGCCTGTTCTGCTCCTTGCTCTGTGTGTGCTGAATTCTCTCACCGTCCCTGTACCTCTGGACTGTACCCCAGTTCTGTATGCATAAATAAATAAATCTTTAAAAAAAAATGAACTGTTGGAACTAAATTAAATCATGGAGAGTCCTAAAGAAACTGTTTAATACTAGAGATTGGTTGGCTGACTAAATGAGAACTAAGTACCTGTAATTAATCTAATTATAGTTCATACCCAGAGAAAATTGCATATATTTCAGGTAGTATAGTGGACTAACTGGACTGGTAAGAGCTAACCTATTGGAGAAGAGAAAGTTCTCTCAAGGTTGTGGTCTGTAGAGAATTCTCTTCTGCGTGTCCCCACTCACACCCTCCCAGTATTATCATACTCTTCCAGTAGGTTAGAACTGGATTGTTTAACTGGGGAGTTTTCTGAATGACTTCCGTGCAGAACACAGTGTTTATTAAAAGATAAGTTTTAAATGTACTAGTCAGAAAATAAAATTTTAAGAAATTAGATTTTAATTGTTTTTTCCACCACAAAAAAGAAATACTTATGTGATGTGTTCAAGGTGTTAATCATGCCCTGTATATCTTAATTATGAAATGTTTTGTCAGTTGTTTCAATATAGTTTCATAGTCTTCTTGCTCCTTCCCCTTTTCAGTGCCCTTATATCTCTAGTCTGTGGTCCTAGCTGTAAAAAGGAGAAACAAGTAATGATTTGAATCTACTGGGCATGAGACTATAGTTCTGCTTTTATCTAGGGAATGTATGGTTTTGATTTTTCATTATCAGCCGCAGTTTAAATGTTCTTAGGGGTTACATAGTAAGCTTTAAGTAGGTTGGATCTAAGGAATCTCCTTTATATTTCTTCCTCCCCTTCCTTCAACGGGTTGGGTGATAGAAGTAACAATGTTTCTCTGCAATTTTATGGTCATCACCATTGATAACCAAGGGGCATTGGTTCTAGGAAGCCTGTGGATACCAAAATTTGTAGATGCACAAGTCTCTTAGATAAAATACAGGTTTTATGTGTAACATTACACATAGTTTTACACATTTTGAGTCATCTCTAAGATTACCTATAACACCCAATACAATTTAAATACTACATAATTAGTTGTTACTTTGTATGCTTTAGAGAATAGTGCCAAGAAAAAAGTTTCTGCATATGCAGTGGAGACACAACTGTTGTAGTCCCACCTACACCTGGATTTTGGACACACAGGTGCAGGTGTGACTCTTAACATATAATGTGTTATGAAGATAGTCCTTAACCTTCATGAACTTGCCAGGAGCCATGGGAGTTTGGGTCAGTGAAAGAAGCACATATTATCACGTATGTACTGTAAATCTCAAAACAAAAATTCTGTGGGAATTTCAAGAAACATTGGGGGTGAGTTGTTGAAGTTGACTTTTTAAAACAGGTCAAAAATATGCAAAGGCATAAAGTAACCATCACCTATGTTTTGAGGACTACACACCCTCTACCACAGTAACTGTTACCCCCATGGAAACCCATTGGGGCCCCTTTTCCATTGGCTCCCCTCCCTGTCTTCTACTCTCCCCACTCTGGTAACCTCAGTTCTTCAGATTTCTAGGGTTTGTTTTAGTTTAGTTTTTGTTTTAGTTTAGTTTTGTTTCTTTACATGCCACATATGAGTGATTCATCTGGTATCTTTTTTTTTTCCTTCTGACTTATTTTTACTTAGCATACTCCCTTCCAGTTCCATCCATGTTATTGCAAATGGCAAGATTTCAGCCTTTTTTTTTTTTTTAAATAACAAGGTAGTTTGCGTTGTGCATATATATCACATTTGTCATTGGGCACTTACTTGTTTCCATACTTTGGCTATTTTAAATAGTGCTGCAATGAATATAGGAGTATATATTTCCTTTTGAATTTGTGTTTTTGCATTCTTTGGGTAGATACCTAAAAGTGGAATTGCTGGACTACATGGTAGATCTACTTACACTATTTTGAGAAACCTCCATTTTATTTTCCATAGGGGCTGACTACTGTCAACAGTATATGAGGATTCCTTTTTTCCCCACAACCTTATAGCATATGTTGTCACAGGTCTTTTGTTATGGTCCATTCTCATAGGTGTAAAGTGGCATCTCATGGTGATTTTGATACACAGTACACTGATGATTGGTAATGATAAATATTTTTTCATGTGCCTGTTGATTATTTGCATGTTTTCTTTGAGAAGGGTTTGCTTAACTCTTGTGCTCATTTTTTTGATAGGGTTCGTTGTTTTCCTTTTGTTGAGTTGAATAGTTCTCCATAGATCTTAGTTATTAATCCCTTGTTGGATGTGTGATATGCACATAATCTTACCTTAGGTGGCTTGTCTTTTCATTTTAGTGAGGTTACTTGGGTTTATATGGATGTATACATGGTGCTTTTTAAAAAGTATTATTCATCCAAATTTGGTTTTAACTCTTGTTATTCCAGTTTTAGTAAGACTGAGATTGCTAAGAATTAGAAAACAAAAACAAAAACTAATATTGTGATTCTTTCCTCTCCAAGTTAAAACAGTATTGCTTATTTTGTTAACTACTGCTTCTGCAAAAGAATTTTGCTCCTATAAAAACCTATCAAAGGTTAATTCTGACTGTTTTACTGTGTGGGAGAAAAAAGAGGGGCATAGTTAACTTAGAACAGTTAATGAATGCTCAAAGAGGTAATAACAGTTGTTAAATATAATTGCATTAGAAAGCGGTCTTACATTCATTATCTTATTTGAGGGTCATACTTAGTGTTTGAGGTTTTTCCCCTTGGCTCTGTAATTGAAGAAACTGAGAAACTGACTCTTGCCCACTTGATTTGTATAGTACAGTAGAGCTAACTTTCAGATAAAGGTTTCTGGGTCAGATACTTTCTATTGAACCACGAAGTCTTTCTGTAGAAGTAGGACAAGAGATGATTTTTGACAGTTAGCAACATAGACTGTGTAACACTATCTTTGCTTTGCTTTTTGTCTTTGGAAATAACTACTTTTCACTATGACCTCTGTTTTTCAAGTAGAGTTTATAGTACTTGGCAATTTATGCTCCATAGAGCTGTAACATTTAGAATGGTTGGGAAGAAAGGGTACTTTACTATTTTTTATTTATTGTTATTTGCCATGGTTCTTACGATTTTAATTATCATTTGTGTTATTCCTTTTACAAAACATTGTATAATAGCTACATTACACGTGGGAGGAAAGGAGGAATTCAAGAAAGTCAAAAATGTATCCTAGAACCTGTACATTGAAATCAGTGCTACCTTTCCAAGCCATAACCTTGAGAAGCTGTATGTTGCTGCCTTTGTTCGAAATTTTCATTAGATATTAATATTTTTTAAAGATCTATTTTTATTTATGCATAACAAAAACTGGGGAGTAGACTATAGAGGTGTGTATGGGGGGTGAGAGGATTCAACAGGAATTGGGGAGCAGAACAGGCAGATCTACTGAAAGACACTGCTAAAGGAAGTTGCAGGCGAAACAGGAAAGGTCTGCCATGCCATGTAGGTCAGCTTCCTTCCCGGCCAGGCATTGAACTCATACTGCAGTGGCTGGCGATAGCTTGATAGGGCTGAGACTCAAACTCCTTGTGCCACCAGGAAGGTCCAGATATCATTATTTTAAGCAATAGACTCTCGATTTTATTTCTACAAAGATGCATCTATTCAACATGAAAATATTAGCACACTTGGTTAATAGTTTAGCTGTTTAGTATACTAGATAGAGATAATTGGTTTTTAGAACATGTTTAACTATTATGTCTAGTATATTAGCACTGAATGGTTTTGATGCGTATTTTTGTAGATTACAGCAGTATAGGTTGTATTTGAATTAATTATTTTTTTTCCCCCCTCCCTAGTCAGCAGATAAGCAGCGAGCCCTAGAAGAAACCAAAGCTTACACTACACAGTCGTTAGCAAGTGTGGCCTATCTGATAAATACCTTGGCCAACAATGTATTGCAGATGCTGGATATCCAGGCTTCCCAGCTAAGAAGGATGGAATCTTCAATCAATCATATTTCACAAGTAAGAGAACATCTTTTCTATTTTCTTAATAAACAGTCAATCTGTAACAGATTTTTTTTACTGTAAATTAACTCACATGTATAATTAGTAAAATAAAACTAATAGATTAAATTGTTTTTTATTTTCATGGGGAATTAATAATTTTCAGTGGTTTCTTTTAAAACTCAGTTGTCATGTTAAATAATCAACCTTGGGCCCTCCCTGGTGGTGCAGCGGGTTAAAGCACAGCACCAAGAAGTTATAGCCATTTCCGCATGAGTTCAATCCAGGCCTGCCCCAGAGGTGACCCACATGGAGCAGCAGACCTCTCCTGACCCACCCGCTGCTCCCCTTAGCAGTGTACTTTGTCAATCTGCCTGTTCTGCTCCCTACTCTGTCTCGGGTGAAGCCTCTCATCACCCCCTCATCTCTGGCCTGTACCCTAGTCTGTATGCATAAATAAATAAATCTTAAAAAAAAAATCAACCTTGAGGTATACATTTGTCTGACTTCTTTGTAATTTTACATGCTTTTACTTTTACAGAATTATACACTTATGATACCTTGTTTGCTGAAAATTTTACTTTTCACTGGCTTTAATGGTTTGACTTGATTATGGAATTAGTTTTATGTGGGCTAGGTTCTTAATATAGGGTGTAAATTCCAAGCTTTTTTTTTTTTTTAAGATTTACTTATTTGTGCATACAGAACTGGGGTACAGGCCAGAGGTGCAGGGGCGGTGAGAGGATTCACCAGACACAGTGTGGGGAGCGGAACAGGCTAACTGATGAAGTACACTGCTGAGGGGAGCAGCGGGCAGGTCAGGAGAGGTCTGCCAACCGCCATGTGATCACCTCCAGGGTGGGGATCCTACTCATGCTGAACTGGCTTTAGCTTCTTAATGCTGTGCTTTAACCTGCTGCACCACCAGGGAGGGCCCCAAGCCTTTACTTTTAAAATAACTGTTTCCCTCCAAATATTTTCATTTACTATTACTATACTTTATTAAAATATTACTATGTTTTTTGGGGGAACCAGAAGTTTCTTCAAATCACATAATTGAGGTTCAAAATATATGGGGAGAGACTGGGTTGAAGAAGCAAAGAAATAGAGGTTTAGGCAGGTCAAAGACAAGATCTTGTGTTTATTGGAATTGTGTAGCTGTTGAGTTGTTTAAAGGTTATGTGATAAAGTTGTTCAGGACCAGCAGATAATTATTTATCTGAGATATTCAATTTCTTTCCTTATCAGGCTCTTTCTCCTGTCTTCTGGTCAAGAATCTGATCACTCTTTAGCCTCCTGGTGCTCTAGCTTCTTTCTCCAGTTTAGTGGAAATAAACTGACTAGAAATGGGAGGGGAAAGGTTAATGGATCCTAACCTCTGGCTCCTCTGCCGGTTTGTGTGACTTTTGATTTACTTGAATGTCAGTTTTCTTGCCAGTGAAATGATAGGACTGATTATATGATTTCTTAGCTGTCTTCCATATTCTTCTGGGCGTGTCACAGTGAACTTGATTTCTATTTGCTTCTCCCTACCCTGCCACTTTCTGTTTTACTAGCTCTGCTGTTCACCTCAACCTGTGCTCCATGGACCTAAGCCCTCTATCATTCTGATACAATTAAACTTTTCCTCAGATTACTTTGAATTATGAATCTTAGGATAGGAATTCCACAGCCTTTACCAACTATGTATCAGGAAGAAACACCTTAACAAGGCTAAAACCTATTTCTAAGTGTCAAATGATTCACAAAACAAGACAATTGATTAGGTCGGTTAGTATCAGGCACTTTTTTGTATTAAGGGATAACTTAGCTTTAAGTAGAATAGTAATAGGATAGTGTATTTATTGTGTTGTGTGTACATTGCACTCACCATATTACTCACCATATTATAAGGCAGTGCTATGTTAGGGTAGTTTCTTTTTTTTTTTTTTTTTTTAAAGATTTCATTTATTTAGGCATACAGAACTGAGGTACAAGCCAGAGGTTCAGTGGCAGTGAGAGGATTCACCCAAGACAAACTGGGGGGGCAGAACAGGCAGATTGACGAATTACACTGCTGAGGGGAGCAGCAGGCGGGCCAGGAGGGGTCTGCCACACCATGTGGATTACCTCTGGGCTTGGGATTGAACTTGTACTGAAGCTGGCTTGTAGTGCTGCGTCCTAACCTGTTGTGCCGCCAGGGTGGACCTAGAGTGGTTCTTAATGTGATTTTCCTTAGTATTAAGGATGATAAATTTTTTTTTTCTTTAAAGATTTATTTATTTATGCATACAGAACTGGGGTACAGGCCAGAGGTGCAGGGGCGGCGAGAGGCTTCACCAGAGACAGAGTAGGGAGCAGAACAGGCAGATCAACGAAGTACACTGCTGAGGGGAGCAGCGGGCGGATCAGGAGAGGCCATGCCATGTGGTCACCTCCGGGGCAGGCGGGAATCGAACTCATGCAGAAGTGCCTTTTAGCTTCTCAGTGCTGTGCTTTAACCCGCTGCACCACCGGGGAGGGCCTTAAGGATGATAAATTTTAAGGAAATTCCATCTCTAGACTTGTTATTCTCAGTTCTTGGGAATCACTAAGAGTTTACTGAAATTTTTAGTCATCAGATTGAGAGTAGTAGGGAATTAAATTAGCATTAAGTATTTTTCAAGTTGTATTATCAGAGTGAACATTTGATTTTGCTGAATATCCATACAAGCACACAGTTAACTCTAAAATCAGTATAGTATTATGTTTAAAGATGAATTATGTTCATGATTTTGTATCCATTTTTGGTAAGCTAAAAAAGGTTTACAAAATATTATTTAAACTAAATTTTTATTAACTTGTGAACTATTTTAAGCCATCCCCATCTCTTCTCTTAGATGCTACAAATGATACTGTCTAATTCAGTTCATTTAGAGTGAGAAGATTAAGAGATGTCAAGAACCAAAAGAACTTCAAAATAGTGTTCCTCCTACTCCCATGAGCTGACTAGAACTTAACAGGCCCGGTGTTGAAGCAGTTAAAAGTAGCAAGTAAAGAAGAAGGAATGTTAGCAAAGTAATATGTAGAATAGAAGTAATTCTTTTCAAGACACTTTTGTAGGTATAAAGGGAGTAGTAGATCTAAACCCTGATGAATTCGTCATGAAATGTACTTTTTTGCTTAAAAAATACATTTAAACACATAACCTTATTTAAAAGCTGTCAATTTAAATTAAGGGAAAACTACTAGTGGTTATCAATATGTAATTTTCCCAGGTCCTAGTTAATTATTATGTATAATTTATACAAAATGAATAACTGAAAATTACCCGATATGTTTTAGTATCTGATTTGTTTTATGAAATGAAAAAATTAAAGCATATTTATTATTTAATTATTAAATTTAATCTTTAAAACATGAAATTACTGATTATAAGAAGGAGACCTGTTTTAAAACATCCAACTTAACTGAGTTAATTCACTATAACTGTTTGATTGCAGATGTTTTCCAACACTGAGGGGCATCTTACTGAGGTAGTGCTATCCAGTACAGTCAACTGTTTTCTCGGTAACTAGAATCAGTAGTGCATGGATAATCCTAAAACAAAATACTTTTATATATAGCACTTCCCTGTCATTTGCTGTAGCCTGAGCATGTGCTTGGGTCATGAGGGAATGGTGCTTAGGCTTGCAAGGTTGCTGGGGGTCAGGTCAGTATGATTATTTCAAGACTATAAGTGTTACCCTAGAGAAGCCTGGGTTTGGCTGAAGTATCATGGTGGGGAGCCTTCAGCATGTGAGATCAGCTTGGCAGTAGCTGAAGGATGAAGAAGCAAGTTAGTAAAGGAAGTGTAAGTGAATGTAGATATTTAAGTCCCACACAGTTGTTATTTCCTGGGGTTATTTTTTGGCTTTTAGTTTTAAAAAGTAGTTTCTTGTATTAGATTTGGTCTTTGCTAGCTCACCACATTGTTTTACTTTTCACAGGTGAGTGCTTTTGTTGAAGCCTCTAATAAGTTTATTGTCCTGTAACTAGTCGCTTTAGAAAGCCAACATAAATTTGAAATATTTTTCTTTCAAAAGTTAATGTAGAACTAGTATTCTCAGCATTTAATGCATCTTAGCTTTACAGTGTCAGAGTATTATGAAGGCAAAAGACTGTGGGATGGCTCTCCCTGGTGGTGCAACGAGTTAAAGCACCGCATTATGAGGCTCTTGGAAGCCACTGCAGCACAAATTCCATCTCCTGCCAGGGAGCTGACCCACATGGCGCAGCAGACCTCTCCTGACCTGCCCGCTGCTCCCCTCAGCAGTGTATTTCAGTACATCTGCCTGTTCTGCTCAATACTGTCCCTGGTGAATCCTCTCACCATCATACCTCTGGCCTGTACCCCAGTTCTGTAGGCATAAATAAATCTTAAAAAAAAAAAAAAAGGGGGGCCCTCCCTGGTGGCGCAGCGGGTTAAAGCACAGCACTGAGAATCTGAAGCCACTTCCGCATGAGTTCGATTCCCGCCTGCCGCCTGCCCGGAGGAGACCACATGGCAAGCCAGACCTCTCCTGACCCGCCCGCTGCTTCCCTCAGCAGTGTACTTCGTAGATCTGCCTGTTCTGCTCCCCACTCTGTCTCTGGTGAAGCTTCTCACCGCCCCTGAGCCTCTGGCCTGTACCCCAGTTCTGTATGCACAAATAAATTTTAAAAAAAAAAAAAAAAAAGGATGTGGGATTATTAAAAGTTAGCAGTTTGATTTAGGAAATGCATAGTAGCCATATATTTAATCTAAACATGCTTGTAGAGATATGCAAAAGTTCTTTTAAAACTGACAGTTGGGGGGGCCTCTCTGGTGGTATGAGGAGTTAAGTCTTAGCACTATCAAGCTATTGGCAGCCACCAAAGTACCAGTTCAATCTCTGGCCAGAGAGCTGACTCACATGGTAAGTTTTATAACTTACTCAGCAGTGTACTTCATCGATGCACGTGTTCTGCTCCCTACTCTATCTCTGGTGAATCCTCTCAATCTGGCCTGTACACCAGTTCTGTATGCATAAATAAATCTTAAAAAAACAGCTTACCGAATTTTTTCCCCAGAGGGCATTAGGCAATGTCAGACAATGTTTGTAACAACTTGGAACAGGGGAGGCTACACTTACCTGTTGAGATGCATCTCTACATCCTCCCATAATCAGGTCAGAGACTCACAACAGTTATTGCTCCAAACATCAGTAGTGTTGCTATTGTGAAACCCGGTTCTGCTCTAGTTTTTCTGAAAGGTAGACATTTTTTCTAGCGTAGACAGCTAGAAAAATCATATAACTAAACAATTATTTTGACTGTCCGTTATTTTGCCTTCTCTACTAGGGGGCAGACACTCCAATTTTATGCCTCCCCCCCTTTTTTTAAGATTTTAATTTTATGCATACAAGATCTGGGCTTAGTGCAGAGGTGCAGGTGGGATTCACTAGTGACAGTGGGAGCAGAACAGGTTGGTTGGTTGACTGAAATACACTGCTGAAGGAAGAAGTGAGTGAGACAGGAGAGGTCTGTTAAAGGCACCATGTGGTCAGCTCTCTGCGTGGGGATTGGACTTATGCTGTTGTGGCTGCCAGCAGCTTGATAGTGCTCAGACTTAACCCCTTGCAACACTAATGAGGCCAGCTGTCCACTATTAAGGCTTACAGTTTTTTGACCTTTTCCTTTTCTATAGTGATTTTTCTTTTATCTTTAATGCAGTGGCCTGTGGGTTGTGTGTTTTTGCATATGTAGAGACATACAAGTAATATGTAATTGCTTTGGTGTATTTTAAAAAAGGTTTCATTTTATTTTCATTTGAAAAATCTATGCTTGCTATAAATTGTGACTACCTATTATTTAAATATGTGGGAAAATGTTACCCTTTGATCCTCCAAAAGTCCCCATATTTCTCACATGAAAATTTAAAATTGAACATGGCTGGTTGGATTTTTTTTTTTCTTTTTGGTAGAACTGGGGTGTAGGCCAGAGAGGGGGCCGTTGGGGTGAGAAGATTCACCAGATTTTACCAGAGACAGTGTGGGGAGCCAGGCAGAGGTCTGCCACCCCATATGTGGGTTAACTCCCACAGTGGTAGTCATAGCACTATGAATTAACCTTTAGGCCACCAGGGAGGCTCTGGACTTATATTTTGTATTCTTAATGGTTTCGATTTCCTTCTACTATTATGGCAAAGACTATATATAAAAAGTGCCATTTTTTTTTGTTCTTATTTTGAAGCATACTTGGTGAATATAGAATGTTCCTAGCTGATTTTTTTTTTCCCTAGCTGATTTTTTTTTTTTTGAACATTTGTTTATTTGTGCACACAGAACTGGGGTACAGGCCAGAGGGGGTGGTGAGAGGCTTCACCCGAGACAGAGTGGGGAGCAGGACAGGTAGATCTACGAAGTACACTGCCCGGGACAGCAGCAGACGGGTCTCGAGAGGTCTGCCACACCACGTGGATCACCTCCGGGGCAGGCGGGGATCCAACTCATGCCACTCATGTAGAAGTGTCTTCAGTCCCTTAGTGCTGCGCTTTAACTTGCTGTGCCACCAGAGAGGGCCCCTAGCTGATATTTTTAATCAATCAGGATGATTCATTAAAAATTACTCAAAATTAGGTTAATTTTCATTGCTTTGAAGTTAAAATTCCAATAGTCATGAATATGCAGCTTTTTTTGTTATAGCTCTCCCAGCAGTTGAAAAGATTTTATAGTTAGAATGCAAGAAAAAGTTCTTACTGTTGTCTTTAAAATAAATAATTTTAAAAGGTTACTTTGTTGGCTAGTCTTGATTTCATCCTTAAATATTTATCAGTTCTGAAATGTATAGTCTGTTGCTTTTAAGATCTCTTGGTTGTAATAGGTGATTATGAATTTGTTTCAAGTTATACTTTAGATAGTTCAGAAGGATAGTTTTCAGATTTCTTAGTGATATTTGATGATGTCATTATGATAGTTACACTTTTTTTTTCTATTTCTGTGTTACTAATTATCTTTTTGAAAGGGGTAGTAGAAGTAGGACTGGGGGTTAATTAAGGACAGTTATCCTTTAATTGCTGTTTGAGCCAAGAATGGTGGTAACAGGTGAACAATTTAACTATTTTTCAGTTTTTTGACTGCAAACCTTAGTAATTTGTTTTTTTCTTTGCACCTGGTGCGTGATTCATGCATATATTGATAATCATGACAAATGTTTCAAGAAATAGTACTTAGCTGTGTATATATGTAGTATGTTTCTGTTGCACTTTATTTAAAATTGCTGCTCAAGTAATTATAATAGTGGTTTGAAAATGCTGTTTTAGCATATAACTTATGTTTGTGGAGAAATCCATCCTCTAAAATTGATATAAGACTGAGTGAAATCACATCTTTCTGTCCTAAATTATATCATATGTGAACAGTTTTTAACTAAATGAAATAAGTTAATGAAATAGTTTGAGCTTTTTGTCATAATAGAGCAGCTTTCCTTAAGCAAACTTAAGCTTTTCTGTTAAAAAAGTTATATTTAATACTGTATTTGTTAAGTCCATCTTTTAAAATAAACAGTTGTTTAAGCACTAATGGAAATTGTACTCAGATTATTTTTAAGTAACTAGGTTAATCACAAGTCTTAATTATTATATTGAGCTAAATCTTAATGAAGAAGGGGAAAATTAGAGTAAACTAAGGGTTGGCAAACATTTTTTCTAAAGGGCAAGGTAATGAATATTTTACTTTTTGCAGATTTACAACATAGAGCAGGGTTGTAACTATTAGCCTCTGTCACTGAAATTTGAATGTCAAGTAGGATGACTACTTTCCAATATAGCTTTATCTATGGAAACTAAAATTTTAATTCCATGTTTTATACACATCATGACATATATATCTTTAGACTTTTCAATTATTAAAAAATGGAAACACCACTCTTAACTTTTGGGCTGTATAAAACAACATTTGGTCTTTAGCCACAGTGTGCCAACCCTTTCTTTAGTCCCAAGATGGAGAAAATTTAGCAGTTGTGTGTTAAGAGTATGAATTATAATTGTAATCATATTTGTGTAATCGTATAAGTCTTTGAACATCTGTATTTGGGTTTTTCTGGATATTAGAATTGTACATTTTTGGGTTGTATTTATATTTTGCAGACTGTTGATATTCATAAAGAGAAAGTTGCAAGAAGAGAAATTGGTATTTTGACTACTAATAAAAACACTTCAAGGACACATAAGATTATTGCTCCAGCTAACCTTGAAAGACCAGTTCGTTATATTAGAAAACCTATTGACTATACAATTTTAGATGATATTGGACATGGAGTAAAGGTAAGGACAACTTCTGTCAAGTTTTTGAGAGCAATAGAACTCTTTAGAAAGAAAACTTTCATTTTTTTTTCCTTTCCTAGAAGACAAAGTTTTGGTCCCCTTGTGGTTTTAATAACCCCTTATTACTGTAAATGATTTTATTCTTCCTGCAGCTTCTTGGTGCTAGGTTTTCAAGTTTAACACATTTATCTTTAAATTGCATTTGCTTAATCAGTTATCATCTTAGTTCACATAAATTTGGTAAATAAATAAAAGTGGTATAATCTCATTAAAAATTAAGTATTACCTTATCAACATTTTTTTTCAGCATACTTTTGGATTTAGTTTTCAGAAAGAACTTTAAAACAATCCAGTACTTTGAATTTTTCTAAAATAATTTTATATTAACATTTGAGTGGAAATAGTGTCAGTGAAGGCAATGAGTAAATTAATATTTCCATTGCTTTGAATATAGGCTGTTAGATATTTTGGCTATGTTTTACAATGTTTTTGGGTGTCTGCTGTATATTTAAAATACCATACCAAAAGCATATACATTTGTTTTAAATTGGTTTTTGTACTGAAGAAAAATTCAGAGCTTCAGCTAAATATTAAACTATTTAAAATTTGCATTCCATCAGTGATTTGAAAGACAGTGATTAATCAGATGTGTCTTTGAATAAATATGTGCCTGTAGTGAAACAGTATAATTCATATAGTTGATTTATGTGTAATGTAAGGAAATTTAGATTAAAAAAACCTTACACTAATATGACTAGAAATCCATTAAATCTAAATTTAAGGTAGATCTAGGTAAAATAAAATAGTAGTATAGATTTTAAAAAATTCTTTTTCTTCCTCAGTTTCTATATATGTGATATTTCTAGAATATGATGTTTAATTTTATAATTGACATTTACATGCATTTAAATTACTAATTAGAGCATATTAAAATGGGCTGTGTAATTGGTTGGATAACTTAATAACTCAGATTTACTCTTGGGAAAATCTGTATTCAAGAATAACAACTACTAATAAGAAATTTAATATTGTCATGACAAAAAAAGTACTTAGCATATAAAATATATTTGTGTTTACTTTCTTATATAGTAAAAAAGGTGATTTTCTTTTTCTCTTTAACTTAATGTTACTCTTTTGGGAAATGTAGGTCCTTTGTTTGGATTTGAGTGTTTGGTGGGGAGGGGGGTTCATCAATGAACATATCTTTAATAAAGTTTTTTAATGCAACGGTGTCATAATTTCATCAGAATAAGACTCCTGTTCATGACACATTCTGCTTTAACCACTCTTTCTATGACCTACTGAAACATTATTTTTTAATGCTAATGCTTAACTTGTTTTTTCTTTTTGTTTTTCCTTTCTCTTCACATCCTGAAGTTCCAACTAACCTTTCAATGCTTTTTTCCTTACCTCTTTTATTTGCTCCATTAATGCATTAAGTGGTTGCTTAGATTTAAGGTAAGAGATTCCAGGGCTGGATTTCCATTCTTTATTCTTATATAGAATATTACATATGGGGAGTAAAGAGTTATTTGGCACTTGTTTAAAAAAAAAAAGAAAGTAATTCTTAGTATTTTCATCATGCAATTTTGTGGTATCTCCATGTTCCAGTAGGGCAGTTGTTTTTGTTTGTTCACTGCCCTATACTCTGTGCCTAAAACAGTGTCTGTCATACAATAGGCACTTAGTATTTGTAGAATAAATGGTTATTTTGTAATACTAATATATTTTGTAAAACTGATATATAAGTTATCTATTATAAGATGTCATTATGGAATAAAATGAGCTGGATTTTTGAAAATGTAGAAATTCTGTTATGGCTTGGAGGGCCAACTGTTGTGCTTAATTTAACCCTCCCCTGTGTAATAGCCTTTTTATTCTATAAATGGTGTGCTTTCTTAACACCTTGGTACCATTGTGTCTTTATTGCTTCACTCATCAATACAAAATAATTGAGAAGCAAAACATATTCAAGGTGTTTTTAAAGTTGCAGTATCATGTATTTTGCAAAAGAAATTAAAACTAGTTCTTTTTTAATATTACTAGATAAAAAATATAATCAGCATAATCTCACTTTGAGTTTTTCAAACTAAACAGTACTTAACATGTAAAATGTCAAAAGCTCATGACACTGTTGAACAAAATATAAGTCAAGAATTAGAGGTAATAGGCTCTCCCTGTTGGCTCAGTGGGTTAAAGCACAGCACTGAGAGGCTAAAGCCACTTCAGCATGAGTTTGGTCCCCACCCTGGAGGAGATCCACATGGTGCAGCAGACCTCTCCTGACCTGCCCACTGCTCCCCTCAGCAGTGAACTTCATCAGTCAGTTCTGCCTGTTCTGCTACCTACTCTGTCTCTTGTGAAGTCTCTCACCACCCCTGCACTTCTGGCCTGTCTCTCAGTTCTGTATGCATAAGTAAATAAATCTTTAAAAAAAAATTTTAGAGATAATAGCATATACATGTTCTAAACCAACATTAACTTAAATAATTTAAATTTAAGAATTATTGCTACTACTTTTATTGTTGCGGAAACATTTTTTTAAAAAAAGATTTATTTATGCATACAGAACTGGGGTGTAGGTCAGAGGTGTGGGGGGATCAGAGGATCCACCAGAGACAGAGTAGGGAGCAGAAGAGGCAGAACTGATGAAGTTCACTGCTGAGGGGAGCAGTGGGTGGGTCAGGAAAGGTCTTCTGCACCATGTGGGTCAGTTCTGGGGTGGGGATCAAACTCATGCTGAAGTGGCTTTAGCTTCTTAGTGCTGTGCTTTAACCCGCTGTGCCACCAGGGAAGGCCCCGTTGCAGAAACATTTTAGTATTTTATAGAATTAATTTTAAATGATAAGTATATTAAAGAAGCCCATGAAATAGAATGTTATTCATAGCATTTTTACCAACTGAGCATGCATTTTATTTTTGTTTTTTTCCTTAGCTGAATTTTACTTTTTTTTCCAGATACATATTTTGTCAAATACCCTGTTTGTTATGTCTTTAGTTTAGAAAGTGAGAACAAGAAAAGATGACTGAATCATTAAGTACCTACTAACCATGGCTTCAGAAATTTCAACTTTATGGTAGAGAGAGAGATGACTAAAAGAACCCAGGCAAATCTGCTTCTTGTGTTGTGGATCGGAGTATTGGCTCTAAATCTCCAGTCTTGGTGAACAAGGCAGGTAGAAATGTGAGGAGATTCCTTTTGTGTAAAGGAGCTAGAAATAGTCCCAAATCAGCAAAGTGGCTTCCTTGCCTCTTTTCTCATACAGTTTGTATTCAAATTTTGACTAGTGATCTGTTAATCTCTAAAGAAATAGACATGCACAGAAAGATCAACTGAGGGAAAAATATATAGAAATCTACCAGCCCTTTTCCTTTAAAACTTAAGCAATCTCATGTTTGTTTCCTCCAAATCCTGATTCCTTCTTTACCTTTTTAGGTTCAGTATCAATTCTATGTGAGAGCTTGGCTAAAATGAGAGGCTTTTAGAATGATTTAACAAGGAAAGATACTTGTATCAGACTCCTTAACATCTTTGTCCTTTTGCACTAAAAAGCTTCACTCCTGAGTACTGTGGCTCTGTATAGATGCTGCTGTTACATCTGGGTGAAGTTGACTGGGTGAGAAGAGTACTGTTCTAGTTCATCCTGGAACCTAGACTGTGCTAGTGTTTTTTCTTCCTTCTCTATAAACTTGTGGAAAAAGTTAATAATTTTGGGTGGGTGAAAAAATAGAGCAAAAAACAGGATATAGTAAATACATATTTTTTTATTCTGGTGAAAACATATGGTAATTGGCCCTCCCTGGTGGCGCAGCAGTTTAAAGCACAGCACTGAGAATCTAAAGCCACTTTCCAATGAGTTCGATTCCCGCCTGCCCCAGAGGTGACCACATGGTGTTGCAGACCTCTCCTGACCCGCCAGCTGCCCCCCTCAGCAATGTACTTCGTCAATCTGCCTGTTCTGCTCCCCACTCTGTCTCTGGTGAAGCCTCTTGCTGCCCCTGAGCCTCTGGCCTGTACCCCAGTTCTTTATGTACAAATAGATAAATCTTTTAAAAAAAGAAAAAGAAAAAACATACGCAATTTTGGGAAGTTTGATTAATGGAATAAATTTAACATATTAAGGTAGAAAATAGTTAAAGAAAAAATGTAGAGTGTAAAAAGGACTATAAATGATAAGATAGTTTAATGGTTTCCCAGCTGAGCTTGGAGACCTATGAGTTACAGCAAATGCCCTAGAGTCTCCTGGTGTTTGATAGGATTATCTAAAAAACTGAACCTATTAATTTCATCAGCTCTTCTTGAACTCTGCGTTTACCCTCATTAACTTTTGTGCCTTTCAAACAGTCCCCAACAGCAAATCCTTTTTCAGGACCAGAAACATGGGATTTAACTCAGAAGAGCTCAAACTTCATTCTTGAAAGTTGAATTCTTAACATTTTATACAGCATGCCTTACTGGTGTTCATTTGGTTGTTTTTCATCTGAAAAAAGTTTTTTTAGTTCAGCTGATAAATTATAAAGTTTACTTATAGTTAAGACTTTTGAAAACAATATGGTGATACTATTAGAAAAGAGGTATAAAGAGCTAATATGTAGAATGTCATATTGGAGATGTTTTAATATATACCTTAGGCTTTATAAAAGAGGTACCTTGACCTGGAGTAGCCTTCCCCTCATCTATTTTACTAATAGAGTTGTAAGACACTGTTCCTCTTGTATTTTAAAGTGGATTTTTCCATAAAGGAGTAAAGTTAACACTAATGAAGCTAAAGTTAAGTACTTCTCAAGTAAATGTTCAGATCAACAATAGTACAGGCTTCTGAGCGCTTAATGTTATATTTTAACTGAACTTTATATAAGCAGATTCTAAGTGGTTAATGAGAAAGGTTTAGGAATATAACATTTGAAAGTTTTGCATTTTTAAAAAAAATCGACTTTGAAGTATTGAATAACTCTTTAGCTTAATATCATGGTAGTACACTATCAGTAAAGTATTAAAGTATGGATTATTTGAATATTTATAGGGATTTTGGATATGTATATTACTTTGGGATAGCTCAGAAGACTTAGAAGATACTGCAATTTAAAAAATATACCTTACATGCCAAAACCTTAATTCAAATTTGGAAACTTATTTTCAAGTATTTTAGCTGTTCCATGTATAGAATAAAATTCTCTTATACTCTTTTTCTATCCTTGTTCCTTCTCCTTCCTGTTTTTAGCAAATTGATAGTTTATAGTGTTTGGTTCACCAACTTCTACCTCATCACTTAAAGTAACTTTGGGTTTTATGTTGTTTAAATGTAAGGTTGAGCTTAAAGGACTTTGATTACTACTTTAAAAAATATTCTGGTATCATAAATTAAGATTTACAAAGTTATTATTTGTCATATTCTAAAATTTTCCTCAAATGTGGATTGACTTTTTAAAAAAGTTCTGTCATTTTCATTTTATTAGTAAACCCTCTCCTTATTAATGAGGGGTAGAGCGAGGATAAGTTAATCTTTATTCTTATGATAACTACTTTGTTTTGTATTTATTGTTTAAAAATAGTCTCAAAAGTATTGCAGATAAATGCTTCACTTTAAAAATATAGACATTTCAAAGATCATTTTAAATCTTTATTTAATTTGTCATTAAAGATTGTTTTAACATCACACACAACTTGTTCACTGGACTATTCATTTGAAGAGTTTGTTTCTTGACATTATTTATTATTTATTGCCTGTTCTGATAACAAATAATATTTTAGGATTTAAAGATTCCATTTAAGCCAAATTCCATTTTGACAGCCTCAGTACTCTGTATACAATTATGATTTGTTTTTCTTAATGTTGATAATTTGAAACTATAAATGTATTCTGATTTCAGTTGGGAGTAATGTCTTACAGTTTTCATTTTACAAGTATAATTTGAATAGACATATTCTTATTAAAAAAGCTAAGATCCTCTTTTGTAGTGTTTTACAATCCAGTATAATAGGGATTTAAAATAGGCTTAGGTGTGAGTCTACATGGTGATCATTAATTAACCTTTACCCATTGGTAATCTCAAGTAATTTGAGGTAATCTCAAATAAAATGAGGTTGCATTTAAGATATATTTGTGAATGAGTTCTCTTACCTTATCAAGATAACCAGATATGTAGAACTTTTTTATAAAAGTGCTAAGATGCTCCTTTTGTGGCATACTTGTTTCCAGATAACCCAACTTTCCTACACTTATATTTTTGGTTGGGGATAGAGTTGTGAGGAGTCATGGACTCCTGATTTAGGACTGTACTCTGTCTTTCCATACCTTCATTAATTTTCATTTTGGGCCTGAGTGGATCTGATTCCCACTGAAACTATGACATTGGCAGTGGCCCATATACTGCTCACAGTTGAATGGATTACCTCACCCCTAACTTCCTGATTCAGATGTCTAGGAATATTCTTAACTTCTGGCAGTTTTCAGGTAGGTGATTCCTTCAAAAGGGAACATTAAGAAAATGACTTGTAAAGCTGATCCACAATTAGCTTAAAAAACATTAAGTTTTCTGTTTACCTTACAATTTATTTTACATTTTAGTTGCAGTGCATCAAAACTTTTATTTGGAAAACATGAATTTTGTTTTTTATGATATACTCGGCAAAAAATTGCATAAAGGCATTATTTCTGATTTACTTTTTATTAAGACTAAAGTTTTATAGTTATCCTACTTAATTTTAATTGAATGAAATTGTATCAAGTATTTTAACGAGTGATCTGTTGTATCAAATAGTCTAAACCAGTGATCTGTTGGTGTGATGGCCCAATGGCAAATAAGTCTTTGCATAAAGTTTATATTCATTTGAAATCTCATGTTAGGAAGAGTCCTTTGAGTACAACTGGAATAAAAGTAGAGTAGAAATTGCATATAAAATGCATGGCCTCTAATTATTTTTCCTGTTTAAACCTTCCCCATCTTTGTTAAATGGCATAACATTTCCCAAAAATACTATTTGGCTTCGCGACATACAATTTGAGTTTTCCTCAAACATTTTTTAGGTGAGTACCCAGAACATGAAGATGGGTGGGCTGCCTCGTACAACACCTCCAACTCAGAAACCCCCCAGCCCCCCTATGTCAGGGAAAGGGACGCTTGGGTGAGTATGTAACTAAGTAATAATTCAGAACCATTTCATATATTGTATGAAAACTAAATACTATATATACATTATTTTTCAGTATTTGAAAATGAATGTTTTCTTCTTAGGGTTATCTTTTTGTACATAATTTTCCCTTTTCCTGGGAAACAGTTTTGTACTTTTTAAAGATTTTGTTTAGAATTAATTTTTCTAATGAACTTTAAAGTCTTAGCTGAAGTCCTTGGTTTATTATAAATGATAATCCCGATTTTCTGAAAAAATTTTAGGGTCTTTGAAACTACAGCTGACTGTTGTGCGTATGACTATTCTGAAAGATGCTGTATGGATTATCAAATTCTGTGTCTCCTATGTCATTTTCAGATTTTGGAGCTTTAACTTGGTCCTATAGATTTGGGCTTTGGATTTGGCTTTTGTCAGGATCAATTTATATTAAAGCGTGATGTTTTTTCTTCTGTGGCTTTATGTTTTAAAATTTTAGTTAAAAAAAAATTTAGTTCATCATAATTGAAATTTGTGAGTAAGCATAATAGAGACCAGAAGCCAGGTTACTAAAATTGTGATCCATCTCTGCTCCTGTTCTGTAGTCTTCCATTGTCAGTCTTTTAGCAGTTTAGTTTTTTCATCTGTAAAAAGGGGGTAATATTTGTCTTATTCTAACTTTCAGAGCCACTGTACCATGAATTGGATTTTTAAAAAATGTGTAAAAGACAGACAAAATATTTTGATACAACCATTGGCTTTATGATATATACCTAAAAGTACTTAAACAATACTATTTGGCCCCCTCACCAAAAAACAACCCATAAAACCCCAATCAAGCGCTATGGATCAAGACTGGGCCAAGATGAGTTGAGATGTAAGTTAAGAATAATGCTGTAAGAGGAATTATAGTTAACACAGAAGCAAAAGAAGGAAAATTAATCTAGTCAGGAATAGGATGATTTTTATTCAGTCTAGATTCAAGAGGAAAGAACTAGAGGATGAATATGATTTAAACTGCAAAGGTAGAATGTGGATGACATTGTTGGGTATAATTGTGCAAGAAAGTAAGACAGTATTCCCCCCGCCCCCATGGAATATCTACATTTCTACCATGCTTGGTTCTTAACAAATTTTGTTAAGTCTTAAATCAGGAATGTTAGCAAGATAATCCACTGTGCTCCCTAGCCAATTAAACTGCTCTCAAATTTTGAAGATTTACTTATAGTATATTAGTTTTCTTTGTGTTTTAGTAAGGATTCTACAGGACTTTTAATTGCTGAGTGCTACAAGCTGGCCTATGGTCACACTGTTTTGTACACTTTGCTTACTATGCTAGGTCTCATATTTTGTTCCTCTATATCTTGAGTTTTACGATGTATTTATCATTGCCTTCATTGTAGAAAGCTCAAATGGCAAAGATTTTTTCATGGTCGGAGCAGAATATTTTTGAAAATTTGTTTCCTACCTTGTTTTTTTCCGTATTTACATCATAATTTCAGAGCTGCTGTTAACCTCCTGCTCAGTACTTTAAATCCAAGGTCCGAGCCTTCATTTTTCTTCCTTTGACTTAGTGTCTAGAGTCCTTTATTTTAGTTGTTAAAGTACATGTATGTTTAAGCAAGCATATTTTGAGGGTAGTAGAAGGATGGGATTGGTGCAAAGTTATCTCATCCAAAAATCAATGGACTATAATTTATTAGCCCAAGAGAGTAATATTTAAAGGATTCTTGGGAACTTTTTAGAAAGTGGCTTATTGAGAAATAAGTGAGCAATGTCTTTTCGGGAAAAGAAAGCTCTTTCACATCTTGAGAATCTGATTTTTATTCTTTTAAAAACCAGAATCTCATCTACAGAATGTCAGTCTCATGTCAGTTGAGTATCATTATCCTTAAAGAACTTTTGAAATTCAAGATCAGAACTAATTTAATAATCACTAATATTCCAGTGTGTATTCTGTTCCTATCATATATATTTTTTATTCTCGTTCTCTTTCTTTAGCGGGAAATTGTGAGACACAAGAAAATACGTTAATAAAATCTTGTTTTGCACTTAATCATTTAAAGTAAATAAAGTAAGAAAAACTTGTGTGGCTTTTTTCCTCCTGTCCCTTTTAAATCTTGAACTCTGAGCAGGGAAACCAGGTAGAGTTGGAGAAGTGAGGTGAGGCTGGTAGGAGAGATCATCAAGTTGTGTGCTTGTGTGGACAGGTTTAATACAGTGAATACACAGTTTAATTTCTGTGTATTCACTGTGTAAAGGGAATTGTTAGGGCTGCTATTCATCATTAGTGTGGGAGCTGTGGAACAGAATTCTAAATTTATTTACCCTGTATTTAAATATTGTTGGTTAGGGAGAGAGGCCTGAGGAAGATATTAGTGTATTCATGCAGTGCAGTTGGGAAACTTTGACTTGGTACTGAAATAATTTGAACTCGTCAAAAGAAAAAAAGGTCTGGAGTGAACAAAATTGCATTAGTATGGGAAAATGAGGTTGGAGAACAAAAAAGAAAAAAAAAACACTACTCTTCAAAATCCTAACGATGGAAAAGTGATACTTAAGGAAAAGCTGAAATAGCTGGGTTATGTTAAAACACACTTCCTATCTCCTTACAAATTATAATTATATCGCACTGCTGGCAACTCTTTGAATTTTTTGTGCCGAAACTTGCTAATCACTCGATACATACGCTCTTCTTTTCGTAGGCGGCACTCCCCCTATCGCACACTGGAGCCAGTGCGTCCTCCAGTGGTACCAAATGATTACGTACCTAGCCCAACCCGTAGTACGGCTCCCTCGCAGCAGAGCCCTGTGAGGACAGCTTCTGTGAATCAAAGAAATCGAACGTACAGGTATTTTCTCTACCTCAGCACAAAGTGTGATGGTCATAGTACCATAAGTTGTTTAGATAACTTTCATTAAATCTCTCATTTTCCAAGCACTGAGTTCTTTTCCTCACTCTGCTCCCCCAAGCCTCATCTGATTCCACCTCTTTCTCCTCATGTTCTGATGCAACTTTGAACTGTTAGGAAGTTGGGAAAAAAAACAAACAAGCCAGAAACCAAGCATTACAACATCTAACCATCTCTACAAGATTAATAATTACAGTTGACCTGAAAAAATATGGATGAGATGTGGGAAATTTCAAGTTGGTTTTTTTTGGTGGAACTTTACAGATGAAAAACTATGTACAATAAGGTGTGAATATGGGATAGATCAGTCTAACAATTTGTTTAGGAATACTATCTTTATAATAAGATTTCTTCAGACAGGCATTAAACTGGAGTAAGAGAAAGTATTTTCTATGTGTTCAGCCTCTCTCCTTAGCACTTACATTTCTGGAGACATTTTTTTTTTTACTACATATTTAATGAAAGGTGGTCATAATAAGATTCTTGAAGTCAACTTTTTCTTCTGATAAAAATTTACATTTGAAGTGAAAGGCTTTTGAATTACTTTATTGTAGCTATATTCATTGCAGAAAATCTGGGGAAAGGCTGGTGATAACCTCATTACATATAAAGACTCATATTTTGGTAACTCTTATTTCTTTAGCAGCAGTGGGAGTAGTGGAGGAAGCCACCCAAGTAGTCGGAGCAGCAGTCGGGAGAACAGTGGAAGTGGGAGTGTGGGAGTTCCCATTGCTGTCCCGACCCCCTCTCCTCCCAGTGTCTTTCCAGGTAAAACATGTGCTGCTTCATCTTGGCTTGTCCTTCCTGAATTTGAATTCAATTCTGGTTTAATCACAGTAAACTGTTTTCATAAGCAGATCAATTTATTATTTATTATTTATTATTTTTTATCAAGACTATGTAAATTTATGCTCTGTTACTAGATTTCTGTGTTTGGTCCTGTGGCTCATTTGGTGTGTTGAGGTCTTAGGTACCACGTTGGGTTGAGTTTTATGTTTAATTCTAGTTAGTGTTACTAAGAATGCGTACATACTTTTGCACATGGTAGAGACTTGGTATGAGAATTATGACGCTAAGAAAGGATTGGACAAATGTAAAAATAATTTTGACAGTTAAAATTAGTTGACTGTTGAAGTTTAACAATCTCTGACATGCTAGCCTCTTCTCTCAGAAACAGAAAGTGTGCTTATTGAATCAGACACAGTCATTCATAATTTAGTTTTAAAAGAGTGGTTAAAAAAATTGAAGTTTCTTCAGACAGGGATTAAACTGAAGTAAAAGAAAATCATAAGTGTTCAGCGTCATTATCACTTAGTTCTAGAGAACGGTTTCTTCTTAATTTCCTTAATAAGGTGTAAAGATAGAAAATTCATATTTAACTTACAATAAAAAGTACAAGCTACTTAAAACAATTATTTTTTCACTGAGGTAACATTGGTCTACAATACTTGATATGATTTCGAGAAATAGGTTCCTACTCTTCAGATGTATGTGACCACACCATCCCCACCACCAAGGTGCCATAGTTCTACACCATAGATACCTTTTTTAAAGTCTGGAGAAAGAGAACCTTGTTTTTCCTAGATTCTTTTTTGCCTGATCTTTATGTCTGGAATATGTTTGTTTTCTGATTTTTGAAGTTCAAAAAGAACACTGTTCTTTTTTAGTGTATCATGTTTAGTTTGATATACTATTTATAGAATGTTATGCTAAAAATAACTGTAAAGGGAATAATTTTATTCCAGAGTAGCAGCTTTCAGGTAATAAGGAATGCTTACTTTTTATGAATTTAAAAATACGTATGTTACTCTGAGCATCTTGAATAACTTGCTAAAAACCCAATAATCCTTTAACATAGCCTTGTTCCTCTTTTTTTTTCTTTTTTAAGCACTCTTCTATTTGCGCACTGAGTATTTCACGTTAAGTTCTTTAATGCCTTCTAATCCTGCCTAATGGGACTGCCTCATTAATATTGCATCTTACTCCTCTTTCCTGCAGCCCCTGCTGGCTCTGCTGGTACTCCTCCCCTTCCTGCTGCTTCCGCACCTGCCCCTGCCCCTCTTGTGCCTGCTACTGTCCCTTCCTCCACTGCCCCAGATGCTGCTGCTGGGGGTGCCCAGGTCCTTGCTGATGGCTTCACTTCTCCTACTCCCCCTGCTGTTTCTTCCGCTCCCCCTGCAGGTAAGTATGGGCTTCTTCCTGGGCAGGCACATCCAGTCATCTGTCTTTTCTGTTCTTGGACCAATGGCTATATAATGTTTTGTGTTTGTGCTTTGTATTAAAAAAAAAACTCTGAGTACTAACTAGAAAATGGGATATGACCTAAGGGTAGAATTTCTGAAGAAATTGGGGTATAATTTCTCATAAGTTTTTCTTGCACATACTTTTTTTTTCTTTTTTTGCTTCTATTTGCTAGAGACCTGTAAATTTAGTATGGAGCCACCTTCTGTATAGTTTGAGAAGTTGTCGTTGGAATTATTGTTCATTAAAGGTTGTCATTAGTAAAATGAAAACTTTGATAATTTTAAGGTGTATTTTACAGGGCAATATTTACTACAATAGTTTGAAAATTTCTATGTATTATAACAGAATTTGTTGCTTATAGCAGCATTGGAAATACATAGATGATGAAATTTTAAAGGATTTCAGGTTACTTAAGGTTGACTGCTGATTTCATGTTTTAAATTTTCAGTCTTAACATTTATTTTGATGGGGAAGCAAAAGCTTAGTTGCTACAAAATGTGTTTGTGAAGTTAATGGTTGTTTAATTTAGTAAACAGATGCTTAACCTATTATAAAAATGTGTGTGTTCGGAAACATACCACCTTAGCTGCCAGTTGGTTTAGCTCTTCTGCTTAACCAAAGGTGTAAATGTTTTAAAAGATACTTAGGGCTAAAATGGATTTGGTTGGTGTTCTATGGGATAGCTTCTATAAAAGCACTTTTTAAGAAATGGTTTCAGGAGTGGGTAAATGCTAACTTGGGCTGATCTTTGATCTACAATAGCTCTGTTAAACCAGACCAGCTAGTCAGATACAAGAATCTCATTATACTTCTGCATCAGTAGTTAGGAGTGCATCCTGAAGTTGGTTGTAGACCCAAAAAGGACAAATCACTTCTTGTGAGAGACAACATTTAGCGCATTTAGATGCTGGTTCATAGGCAGCACTGAATAAATATTTGTTACGTGTGTGAATAATTATTGGGCTTTTTTTTTTTAACAAAAAGGTTAAAATACCTAAATAGTTTATATCAACATTTCTTTTTATATAGCATCTTTTGGAATCATCAAATACATTTTTCTTAATGTATAAATTACATAAATTTTTAGTGTGTAGTTCTGTGAGTTTTGACAAATGTATACAATGATGTAATCACAAATCAAGATGTAGCATACCACCGTCGACCCCAGATTTCATCCATCCCTGCTCTGGTCATTCATCCCCTCACTTCTAGTCTCTTGTACCTCCTTGACCTGTTTTTGTTGCTAGAAGTTTTGCCTTTGTTAGGATATTATGTTATTGGAAGCATGTGGTGTGTAGCCCTTTGGATTTGACTTTTTCATTCAGTTTATTTGAGATTTATCCTTGTTATGTGTTTTTTTTTTTTTTTTTAAATTATTATTGAACAGTCTTCTAGTGAATGAATGTGCTGCAGTTTGTTTATTCCTTTCCCAGTCGAGGGACTTTGGATTGTTTCCAGCTTGGGGTAATAACTGAATATAACTCCCATGAACATTTACACACAGACTTCTGTAAGCAGTCTCGTGTAAGCAAGTCTCATTTCATTTGGGTAGATAGTTAAGAATTGCTGGGTTGTGGGGTGAGTGTTTGAGAAGCTACCAAATTGTTCTAAAGTGGCTGTACAATTTTGCACCCTAATCAGTAGTGTCTGAAGTTTCCACGTGCTTCTCTTACTTGTTATCGCTTGATGATATTATGATATATTTTAAAAATGTAGCTGTTACAGTAGATGTATAGTAGTTTCTCGTGGCTTTGATTTACATTTCCCTAGTGACTGATGTTGTAGAATGTCTTTTCAAATGCGTCTGTTTTATCTTTGGTGAAAGGTCTGCTCAAATATTTTACTTCTCCTTATATTCCTTTTATACGGCTATTTTCTTGTTGTGTTCTTTTGTATTATGAATGTAAATCCTTTAGCAATTATGTCTTTTGCAAATATAATCTTCCATTTTGTGGTTTCTTTTTTCCTTAATGGTGTTTTTCAAACAGCAGTTCTTTAAGTCCCATTTTTTTTAATATATATATTTATTGTGGTTTTGGTGTACTATCTACAAACTTTACCTTATACTAGATCATAAAAGTTTTGTTCTGCTTTCTTTCTAGAAGCTTTTAGTCTTAGGTGGTAATTAAACTGTAGTTTTGTTTTCAACCCCAAACAAAGTAAATGCCTTATTATGATGTCAGTCGTCTTAATGTCTGAATCACTGAGAAGTGGTAGCTTGGAGCTTAGATTGGATCTCACATTATAAAATTTATAGTGGTGTTAACTATTAGATGTTTTTAACTTGATAATCCTAGGTTTGTGCTACTTTGTTGCTCATGAATTACTAAATGCCAATAACTTATATCCGGTGTTTCCAATGACATAAATTTACTTTAAATAATAGCATATTATGCTTTTACATTTTTATCATGTTTACAGAAACCTGACAGTGCAGTTTCTTTACACTTCAATACTCAAAGTTTCTATACACTATTGAGTTTCAGATTTTTTTTAAGATTTATTTATTTATGGATACAGAACTACAGAACTGGGGTACAGGCCAGAGGAGTGGTGGGTGAGAAGATTCACCAGGACAGAGTGGGGAGCTGAATAGGCAGATAGACGAAGTACACTGCTGAAAGGAGCAGCGGGTGGGTCAGGAGAAGTCTGCCATGCTATATGGGTCAGTTTCCTGGTGGGGGGATTGAACTCATGCTGCATTATTTAAAGTGCATTATTTCCTTTAAATAATGCAGTGCTTTAACTCATTGCACCACCAGGGAGAGCCTGAGTTTCAGATTTTAACACTGTCTTATATGTAAGAAGATTAAACTGTGTAGCAGATCTTAAATAATCTGAGTCCATGTGAATCCAAGTTTGAAATGTATGAAGTTCTTGAAGACCAGTTGTAGTCCTGTAAAACCATTTTACAGTCATGGTTAAGATAAAAAATTGTCAGGTGATTATTTTTCTTTCTTTTTTTTAATATTTAAAGAGTAAGTTTATTAGAGAGAGACAGGAGAGGAAAAGACACTTGCATAGGCACAAGCAGGCAGGAAGAGTTGGAAGGGACACATTTGCAGAGAGACACCTGAATGGTTGCAGGCAGGTGGTATTAGGAGAGCGGCCTCCACAGGAGGAGATACTGGTATGGTATAGGTCACAGGCAGGCAGGAGGCTGCTGCCCTGCAGAGAGTAGGTGGAAAGAAGCACCTGCATAGTCCTATAGGTGGGCAGAGGAGCGGCTGCCTATTTTTCCTTTTTTTAACCTCTTCTCCCTTTTATGTCTTCCTCCCCTTCCACTTACCCTTGGCTTCCTTCTGATCTCTTCTCACCCTCTTGCCACAAAGAGTATTTTCCTTTAAACTGGTTGTTAATTAAAATTACTATTTATTTGGCGTAAGACTGCTAATTAACTATTTGTCTTTTGCTTTCTCAAATGTTATCCTGAACTTGTTAGGTTTCAATCTTTAGTGATTTTTGGGAGGGAGAAGGGAAGGAAGTGAGTCATAAATTGTAATGATTTTGAAACTACCAAATCATTAACTTAATGAAAACATATTCGTAACCTCTTTAGATGTAACTTTTGCAAATCTAATTATACATTATTTATTTCCTGTTTTTGCACTTGAGTATGTCAGCTGAACAATAACTATTTCCTTGCATTGTTTGACAGATAGCAGTAAAGTTAGCTAACTATTGTTATTTTAAATAATCTTAGATTTAGGCATTGTACCTAAAATATTTCATTACCTTAGATAATTTTCTTTTAATACCAAGTTTATGTTCTGTCCTATTTCCAGGTCATCCTGTTCAGTTTTACAGTATGAATAGACCTGCTTCTCGCCATACTCCCCCAACAATAGGGGGGTCGCTGCCCTATAGACGCCCTCCTTCCATAACCTCACAAACAAGCCTTCAGAATCAGATGAATGGAGGACCTTTTTATAGCCAGAATCCAGGTTGGCTTTACTTTTGCATTCTTCAGTATATGTCTAATTAAAAGCTTTCAATTACAGAGAAAAAAAATTGATTACAAGTGCATAGCACATGATAGGTGATTATTACTACTTGTTGAATAAGTGGAAGAATGAATGTAGGATTGCCAATGCTATATCTTCCCGTTTTTGTTTGTTTGTTTGTTTGCTTGTTTTTAAGCCAATACATGGTTTTCATACAAAGTTGTAGAGTTTTTTTTTAAAGATTTATTTATTTGTGCATGTAGAACTGGAGTACAGGGGCGGTGAGAGGCTTCACCAGAGACAAGTGGGGAGCAGAACAGATAGATCGAAGAAGTAACACTGCTCAGGGAAGCAGCGGGCGGGTCAGGAGAGGTCTGCTGCGCCATGTGGTCACCTCCCGGGCAGGCGGGAATTGAACTCATGTGGAGGTGGCTTTTAGCTTCTTAGTGCTGTGCTTTAACCCGCTACGCCACCATGGAGAGCCCAGAGTTGTAGAATTTAACAATACCTTTTTAATGTGCTAAAGATCATTTGTTTTTAAAATAATACTATGGTGAACTTTATTTCCCTCTTACAAATAGTAGTGAAACTGAGAGTATATGAACAATATTTGTAACTGACAAAGGACAAGGATCTAACATTTTTAAAGCTACTTTATGCTAAGCAGTTAGACTGTCTTACTCGATTCTTACACCAAAGCTATGCTGGGAAAACTAAGACTTGCACATAAAGATCCAGATATAGCTGTCATCTTTCAGTTGCATCATACATGCAGAAAAAATAAATATGGCCCATTTGATATCGTACATTATCATTATTTTTGCTTCTTACTCAACATGCATAAGCAAATACTAGATTTTATGACTGTTGTGGATATGGTATTACAACTTGCTATTTCTCTCTGAATTTTTGCCAAGAGTCCAGTAAGCCTATGTAGGTATTATCACCTCTAATATTAGGGGAACTTTGGGTGAAACTTTGTTATATCTTTGGGAGTTATACAAGAGAAATTTGATCCTTCTCATACATAAAAACAATTTAAAGGATATTTTTATATTTATTATCAATTTGTTCTTATAATCTTGTGATCATTTTCACCAGGTGAGGAAACAGTGATATCAAATTAGTTTGGAACTTAGGTCATCTGACTGTCAAATTTAATGTTCTTTCTACTGTACTATCCTACTTACCTTCAGATAAAAAAAAAAAAAAAATTTAACCTCCGTATTCTTTGATTTGTCAGGAAAGAGGATGCCCACATTGTAAGTGCATGAGAGCCTAAGTAAGATTTTGTCAGTCTATTATATAGTCAAATCCTGGGAATAGTGCTCAGTAACAATTTGTTAAATGGGGGGATGGATCTTTATTCCATTATTCAAATGCCTTCACTGTTTGGGGTCTTTTTTGTAAGTTAAATTACACACACACATATGTAAGTAAGTCGTGCAAACTGTTTAACAATTGTCTGTTTTGAAATAAACTTACTAGACAGCTGCCTGTGGTTGCAGTTACTGATTTTTGACTATGCCATTCTTTTAAACTCTTTTTTGAGCTGAATTTTGATAAACTTGTCTTATTTATACATTCTCCTTTTAAATTAAGTGTTCCAGACCTATATCTGTATTGGTATTATTTTGTATCTAAAGGCATTTTTTTATTCTAAAATTTTAGTTTGCTAGATATGGCCCGTTTCATAGTTCTCCTAAAGATAAACTTTTCTCCTTGTACTTTTTCAAAGTCTAAAAATGAATTGCTTATGGCCATAAGCCCTTCCTTGTCCTTTTTCCTTACCTAGTTTTGAAAGAATGGTGTGGGTCCAAAATGAGCTACTTCCATAATGGAGCTGAGAGGTGGCTCACTGTCAACATCTTGGCACCCACTGTACTTAATTTACAAGCATAAGTATTTTATGCTTTGCACATGTATAAATCAAAATTTTAGTCTTAGAACCCTGTTGGTGGAATTTACGTGATGTTGAAGCACAGATTTAAATGTCTTAAGTACATTTTTTTTTAAAGATTTATTTATTCATACAGAACTGGGGTACAGGCCAGAGATGCGGAGGGTGAGAGGATTCACCAGAGACAGAGCAGGGAGCAGAACAGGCAGATCTACAAAGTATACTGCTGAGGGGAGCAGCGGGCGGGTCAGGAGAGGTCTGCTACACCATGTGGTCAGGTGGGAATCGAACTCATGCAGAAGTGGCTTTAGCTTCTTAGTGCTGTGCTTTAACCCGCTGAGCCACCAGGGAGGGCCTGAAAAGTTCTTTTTGCAAAAGTTAATAATTTGCAAATCAGTGCTCTGATCTACCTTTCTTTTAGACTATTCTATCTCTCTTGTATTACACTGGTTTGAACAATGGTCTCTGGTTTTGTTTTTGTTTTCCATTTTTAAAATAAGAAAATCAGTGGCTTCTCAAGTAGCTAACTTTCTAACTTAACAAAATCATCCCAGGTAGTATTTTATGAGCATAATTTTTACTGGTGGGGGCTTGACATGGATATGTGCTTCCAAACAAGTGTGCATATAAATTCAGAGAGGGCTTTTGTGAGAGAGAAATCCTCAGCACTGTTATATTTTGAGATTGAAAGGGCATTATAACACAGTAATTAAAATATGGAACACCCACTGCCTAGTGCCAAGTCCTAGGAGAAAACAATAATTTTCTAATAAAATTATTTCCGAAACAGTTACTGAAAGGAATACTTTGATTATAACGGAAACCCCTTTGGGCCTTATAGTTTCTTAAGCCTTCTAATTATTGTTCAGTAACTATACTCTTTCCATCAAGGGCGTCCCTTGATTAGAAGAAGTTAAGTACTTTAAATTACTTTTTCTAAGTTTCTGTCCATATTTCTAAGTTTCTGTCCATGTTTAGAAAATATTTCACTCTTAAATTACTTAAATGATTTCTTCACTGGAATGTAAAATATAAACAACCAAACTTGAATGGGTTATAAAATATGACCTCTAAAAGTGATATTTTTAGTGTATACTTTAGAAGTAGTATTTAGAGTGTTTTAATTTAATTTTCTCAAGTTACTTTAAAGCTGTAAAAGTAGGATATACAAGTTTCATTTTTTTCCAAGAGGCTCATTCCTCCTCCAGTCCCTCCACCCACAGTTCTTTCAGTTGGATATTTTAAAGCATTAAGCAGAAAAGATTATGCTCCAAGGGGTTTTATAAATAACCCAAAAAGTCATTCTGAAAGTCTGTACATTTCATCAGAACAGAGTCCTCCCATTTGGATTGCACACAGACCCTTTCACTGTTTACATCTATGTGTCTGCATGTTGCTGTTTGCATACAGGCTGTAGTTCTTGTCTGCTAACATCTCCATAAACTCCAGTTATCTGGTGAGCCTGTGCTTATACTTTACATTCCTCCCTAACTGTGTATTGTATTGGTGGTTATAGGGGAAATGTCTGTCATATGTGGAATCTGCTTAGCTAAGTGGAGTGAAAGTAAATTTATAGTTACGTCCTGCTCTCACCTGTTCATGAAACACCTAGGATGAGAGCTGATTATTGCACACAGTTCTTCACATCAGAATCTTGTAAGTTATCCCAGAAGAGTTCATATTCAGCTGTCACTGAGGAATATACATTTGGTCTAAGCTAGGGTATTCTGATTCATAGGAGTTACACACTCGAGAAAGAAAAATGCTATGATATTTGAATTAGTTTGGACCCCCATGTAAAAGATTTACCTTTGGAGGGGGGAAGTATTTGGGTGACCTTTGTCAACTATATGGCACTGCATTTTTAAACATGACTCAGGACTAGCTTTGAAAAAATTCTGACTTGTGCTGTTATAAAGTAATTCTGCTTAAGGAAATTTCAGGACTGCTTTTTACCTATGCTGCTTTTGGTGGTCTTTGAAAACCACTGTAATTCAGATTTTCTGTTTTAGAACTAGGTAAGATAGAAAACATTCATTTAAAAAAATAACCCTACCCACAAACAGACTCTAAGTTAAGGATCTATTTATTCCTTTTAAAGCTAAATAACAAGTAATTTTAAAAATTTGGATGAGAAACTGTGACTAAGGTGAATGATTTCTTAACATTTGTTTTACAGGGGATGTTGAGACAGGTGCTAACAGGAGCACATTCTATCTTAATGTGACCAGACATCTGCTTTCCTCTTTTCTCGTAACAGTCCCTGTCTGCAGGTGTTTATCTTTCATCTCTGCTACTAGCCCTGTTTTTTGTATCCTCGTCTTATTCCAGTGGAAACATGGGGGTCAGTGTGAATATATTATCAGTTATTGCACCCCACTAAGTAGGAGCAGACACACAACTTAAGAATTTACAACAAAGAAGTATGACCTTACCAAGAAGGTATCTTGGTATTTGTAACATTTTCTTTTACAAAGAAAAGTCTTACCAAGAGGTATCTTTTAAACAAATGTGTCCATTTGTAGGGTTTCACTACTGTCTAAAATTTAGATCTTTTAAAATAAATTTAGATTTAAAATATCCTTAAGTTTAGATGTTTTAGATATAGTCTTCAGGATGATCTGCTTAACTTTTATGTCCACATTGTATGTGGTTGGTTTCTAGACCACAGTTTTTTCACTGCCTGTCACTACTAGTTCTGTGCTTCTCAGTTTTTCTCACATACTATACCCAGCATCTCAGTAGCCTTCAGGATTTATACATCAGTCAGTTTTATACATCTTTATCATATACTATTTCTACCTGATCTACTTCTCAACGTGTTTATTTCCCTACACAACCTACCAAAGCTAGTGTGGTTTACGGTACCTACCTGAAGACCGTTAATGTAAAACTTGTCTGTTGCCCTTTCATGGTCACCAGGTGGCCTTAGTATCCTTGGTTGCTACGTATCAATAGTTTTTCCACACTATTACTACCTTTTTTAAATCTTATCTACTGTCTTGATTTTTTTTTTCCATATTGCCCTCAATGGTTAACTCTCTACATACTTTTTTTTTTTTAATCTTTGCGGTCACTTTGTAAAGTAGGTTGCATTGTCTCTTTTTTTTTTTTTTCTTTGAAGATTTTTATTTATTCATACAGAACTGGGGTACAGGCCAGAGATGTGGAGGGTGAGAGGATTCACCAGAGACAGATCAGGCAGATCTACGAAGTACACTGCTGAGGGGAGCAGTGGGCGGGTCAGGAGAGGTCTGCCACGCCATGTGGATCTCCTCCGGGGCAGACGGAAATCGAACTCATGTGGAAGTGGCTTTAGCTTCTTAGTGCTGTGCTTTAACCTGCTGCGCCACCAGGGAGGGCCGCATTGTCTCTTTTTCATATCACACTTAAAGGATGACACTCAAAGCAGTTCATAAATCTGCTGTCTGCTGTTCTGATGGCAAGAAAATGATAAGTCAGGCATTTGATGCTAGGCAACTTTAAAAGTCCAGTCTCTTTTTCCACTAAGGATTCTTTCACCTAACATAAGAATCTTCCCAATTTCATAAAGACTCGCTCACCTTTCCAGGTTTTGTACTTTCTCTTGGGGTATTTTTCACTAGTCATTGCACAGACATTATGGGGCTTGAGTGATCATTCTGTTTTAAAACCTTTGCCTTTAGTTGGTTCTCAGATTGTCTTGGATTTTCTGTCTTAGCCTTTATCAATACCACACCACCATTGTCATGCCATAGCATCACCATGGCCCTCACCACCACTACCAGCACTGCCACCATAACTGGGGAATTGCTTCAACTGTTGGGTTATGGTTGTTATTTTTTGTTTTTGGGTAGAATGTGACCTCTTTGAGGACAGTGATTCTTACTCATCTTTTTAGTTTAACTAGTCTTAACTGTAATATGTAGCTTAGAAAGAAGATGTGTACTATAGTTAAGCCTATTCTGAAGAAAACTAACAGAGTTACTCTTGGGAAATTGTTTGGAATGTACCTTCCGTGTATATTTACATACAGCTAACATTTGTTGCAGGCTTATTAGGCTCAATGCCAGCTATGTGCGATAGAGGAAAAGACACACTGGGTTGGGGAAGAATGATTTTAGTGAAGCCAGTGTTCTTCTTTAGGGCCAGAGAGGAAATGTATGCAGTACAGCAGGTGGTATGAAGTATGCTTATTAATATTGTAATGACATAGACTTGATGAGAATGATCTTGATATGTGTCTCTTAGGAGAGTGCTTGCTGCTTAGAAGGAAGTCGGTTAATATTGGTTTAATGAATGAAGGTTCAATTACTTTGTTACTGAAGTAGTGGAAAAGTACAAATTTAGAAGTTGGGATGCAATATTTCTCTTCTCTTATGTTGTCGAACCTTTACACTTGTAACCTTCAAGGTAAAATCCAGAAAACTAAATTATGGTAATCTAAAAAAATTCTTTTATTTGAGAAAACATGTTCTTGACTTGAAAAGATCAATTTGTCATTATGTTAGTGTAGATCTATATATGACAAATGCTTCCGATTGTAATTTTTTTAAAAATTTCCTTAGAACTCCCTCTAATACTTTGTTTTGTATCTTAATGAATTGTCCCTCAAAAGAGGGTCCTTAAGATGGCTTACAAAATGTTTATGAATAGTGGTTTCCTCCTGATATGTTCATTTTATTGTAATATCCTTTCCTTTTAATATAACTCGCCCTTATCCCTTATCCTCCACACCTTTTTTGTTTTTGCAGTATCTCTTGCTCCTCCTCCTCCCTCCATCCTACAGGTAACTCCCCAGTTACCTTTAATGGGATTTGTGGCCAGAGTCCAAGAAAATAGTAAGTTTATGTCTTCTTTATGCTGTAGACCAGATTGCAGGCATAAAAATGTCATTTACTTATGATTGGCTAAATAGTCATTCATTCATTCATTGATAACTTCATACTTCAGATATTTGAGTATTATGAACAAATCACTATGATCACATTAGTGGGATGGTAAAATAAATGAAGTTGTCTTCTTTCAAGTAACTTACAATCTGGTAATGAAGATACGACATAAATCTAAAACAAGGCACATGTAAGAAAAGAAAGATCTTGTGTAACTGAGGAGTGTTCATTAAATACCCTACCTTTTTCTCTGTCTCTGGGTTGCTCAAACAAGTAGTCTAATTTCCTGTCACCGGTATTTTAGGAATCTGACTGGCGTGGTCTGTGATTCCAGGTGTAAAAATGTCCATGCAGGGTGGTTCCGAAAGGGCCAAATTGCTGATTTGTTTTCCAAGTGACAGTGGATTGACAGTGAATTTGTGTTGGCCAGTGGTCTGATATTGAGTCATGTGGGATCATATAACTAATATTTTTGATACACTAAGTCTTCTCTAGGGATGTGTTAAGGCAGCTCAGGGGACTGACATTTATAGAACAGACCTGTCTGAGCGCCCAGTTAGGACCAGTGAAAACATTCTGCGTGCTAGATAATTTCCTTCTTGTGAGCAGTATGCAGGAGGAGCCACAACACAGTCATGAGGATGTATGTTGGACATGGCAACTGAACTAGGGGAATTGTTATTAAGGAAAAATTTAATGTTGTCAGACTGAAGTCAGCCAGTATCCATCTCGTAACTGGGATGGCTTCACAAAAGGCCGAGAAATACTTGCACTGTGTTACTTAGACTCTGACTTCTGTGGAAATAAGCACTGCCAATATTAGAATGTAAGCTCTGAGAGAGCAGGGATTGTTTGCCTGTTTTGTTCACTGTTTCTCTAACAGTAGAAAAGTGACACATTGCAAACACCCTCAGTCCTCTTTTGTACTTTCACAGCTGACTAAATGCCTCTTCTTGACACATTTCTTTCTTATAATTGGTTAAAATCCAGTCTTATTGGCCTGAGGGCAGAGTCTCTTTCAGGTACATTTGCATCTCTGCTAATTTCTGAAGATAATCTTTTTCTGTTTATTAGTTGATGCCCCATGAGCAGCTCCAGCTTTTACAAAACTTTGTGTTTGTCCTTTTGGGATAGTTTTTTCTCATTTCTTCCCGTAGACATGTATATTACTCAACTACCAAATGTATAAAAATGAGAAGTTGTATGAGGTATGCCATGTCTGATTTTACAGATCCTGTAACAGGACTTAACACATTCAAATGAATGTTGTCCTCTTCAGAACACTCACCTTGGAGAGATACGTACTTGTCTTTTAGGATTATTTTCGTAACTTTGAGTACATTATTTTGAAGATACTCTACTAGCAGATAGCTCTCTATAAACTTTGATGCCTGGAAGAAATCTGGAATTATTTGGAACCTGTTTTAAATAGTTAAGGAACAAATTGTACTGTTGTGATCCTTGATATATATTCTTAAAATCCAGTGCTCCTCAGATAGTTCATACTGTTTTAGAGCCCTTCCTGTCTAGTCTTTTTGGCTTCCTCAGGCATCTCTCTACTGAACTTCATAGTCAGTTCTTTAGGAGTTTCTGCCTTTTTTTTTTTTTTTTTTTTTTTTTTTGGTATTTATTTTACTCATCATTCAGGTTTCAGAAAATGTTTCCTGACCCACATGAGAGCTTTTGGTTTATTGCTGTGTTTCTTCCATAACAACTTAAGGCACTGCCCGTAATAATAAATGAAAGCTTGGTTTCATGACTTGGCCATCTCCTCTGTTCCTTCTGCCAAGCGTACAATACCTAGCCGTAGTTAAGTTTTCAGTTGTTACTTGTTGAATAAAAAAATAATAAAACTGGCTTTAATGTAATGGAATTTCTCAGGCCATAATAGTGTAGCTTTGAAGTTCAAATTCCTGGTCTTCCACTTACTATCAGACTACTAAATCTTGGAAAGTCAGTTTCCATATTCATAGTGAGGATTAAATCAATTCGTGAGATAAAAGGCTAAATAAAATGATGTGTTATAAAGTACTTGCTGATTAATTGGAAAACTTGAAGTAAAAATGGTAGCTTATGTTAATCTTACTAAATTGCTTGTGAGACAGTTAAAAGAAAAGGTAAAAATAGCAGCATCTTTGAGTAATATTGTAATATAATTTCTCAAGGTGATTGTTTTGAAAGACAGAGTTCTTTTGGATCTGTTTCTACACAGTTGTTTAAGGTCAATCTAACTTTATAAATGCAAATAGGACACATTCTTACCCCAACTGTGTTATTTATTATGTAAAGATTTGCTAAAGTCACATTATTAATATCTTCTATATAAGACCTAAAAGAACATTTGAATGAGCAAAGTTTTAGAAGTCATGAGTTGATAAGTACAGAGCATATAACAGATGGGAGGAATACTGGAATAGAACAAAGTATGATGTTGACAGGGGTAATTCTCACCAGCTATCAACAGTCTTCTAAACTCCACTTGATTCAGCTAGTAGGCTGTGAATTTCATGGAAATAGTATTGATGCCTTATAAATAAGAATTAGTGCTGTTTGTTAAAATTGGGCAACTGATAAAAAGTTTCATTTATTTCCATGACTTTGGTATGTTTATGTTGTTGAACTATGCTATGTGTGTACTAAACATTTTCAAAGCTTGAGTTCCCTAAAGTGGGATAATTTTTAGATATTACTATTTATTGATACTTGAGCTGTAAAAAGCAAATTTCTAGGTACATGTTTTAAGTACTTTTAATCGGGTTGGGTACTTAACTAGAAGAAAATTTGGATTATAATCTGTCTGAATCATGAAATTCTGTATATAACTCCCACCCTCAAATTATAATAAAACTGACTTCTCGTAGGTGAAGTTACCCAAATTTGTGGCATTTTCCTATTAATTTGGTAAAATGCTATTTTAAAAAAATTTGAGAGAAATGTAAATTATTACAATGTGACTTGTTTAATGGACTTGCTGTGTTTATAAATTAAATATAAATGTCAAGATTATTAATATTTCTGACAATCATTCCTGCTTGGATATACTGTATAGTGATCTGTATTGTATTGATCTTTCTAAAAGAGAGGATTGTGCATTAACCTAAATAGGTTCAATTAAAAATAATTTTTGCTGAACTATTCAACATTATGAAGATTAACCCAAGTGAAGGAGAAAGTCCTGTTTGGAGACTTGGGACATTATAGTTGGTAGGGAGGTTTCTCTTGCCCACTCAGTATTTGGAAGATTATTTTCAAGTCTGGGTTCATATTACATGAGTGTAGAAGCTTGAATAGGAAATACTGAACTTTGCATAATGTGAGTTTTGTTATCAGCTTGATATATTCTTAGTTTCAGATACACCACCTCCACCACCACCTGTGGAAGAACCAGTGTTTGATGAATCCCCTCCTCCACCACCTCCCCCCGAAGATTATGAAGAGGAGGAAGCTGCTGTGGTTGAGTATAGTGATCCTTATGCTGAAGAAGACCCACCATGGGCCCCAAGATCTTACTTGGAAAAGGGTAAGTTTCAGAGGGATTTTGGAGGATTGGGAAGAAACTGCTACATAGAAATGAAAATTTTTTTTTTAAGATGTATTTATTCTTACAGAACTGGGGTACAGGCTAGAGGTGTGGTGGATGAGAAGATTCACTCGAGACAGAGTGGGGAGCACAACAGGCAGATGTACTGAAATACATGCTGAGGGGAGCAGCGGGTGGGTCAGGAGAGGTCTGCCACTCCATGTGGATCAGTTTCCTGGCGGGGGATTGAACTTGTACTGCAGTGGCTTTGTTGAGTTTTATAATGCGGTGCTTTAACCCATTGTGCCACCAGGGAGAGCTAGAAATGAAATTTAGTGGTATTGAAGAGAATCTTGTTTTTCTACTGAGAAGCAAAGATTTGCGTATATACCTCTGTGTTCTTATTTAGTTTACAAGATTCCTTATTTTGCAAGTTACATGACTAAACTTTTTTTTTTTAAAGATTTTTATGCACACAAGAACTGTGATACAGACCAGAGGTGGGGGGAGCGGGTGAGAGGATTCACTGGAGACAGAGTGGGGGAAGAACAAGCAGATGTACTGAAATACATTGCTGAGGGGAGCGGGTGGGCCAGGAGAGGTGGGTGAGTCACACCATGTAGGTCACCCCCTTCACCAGGGATGGAACTCATGCTGCAGTGCTATAGATAGCTTCACAGTGCTGCTCTTTAACCTGTTGAGCCCAGGAGGGCCCATGACTAAATTTCTGTGACTGATTTTTTATTGATGGTTATGTATTATTCCTATTCAACTTTTTTTTTTTTTTTTAAATAAATGATTTCTGTAAGACAAAATTTAAAAAGAGATTTTTCCTGGAATGCCTCACGAAGAGAATTTTTCTAACGTATTAATTTTTCCTACCGCATGTTTCAAAGTATTCTTCCTTGGTATCTGAGTTATTTAATTGTCTCTGTATGAAACTTCCAAAGAATAATATTAGTTTCTTTATAAAGTAGTATTGGGCATTTCTTTTAATGAAAAATTTATCTTAATACATTGGCTAACCAATGACATGGCACTAATTAATCTTATTAATTAGCTCAGGAAAAAAGTGTTTGCTTTCTGGAAGGAAATTTTCGGTTTAGGAAATCAAAGGTATTAAGTTACTGGGTCTCAAAACTTACTATATTAGAATTACCTGCAGAACTTATATTAAAAAATTGTGGACTTTTACTTTTGTTCAAGATAGAGCAGTGGTAGTCTGATTTACCCTGCTTTGAGTTGTTGACCACTATTTAATGCCTATTATACAGTCAAGTAAAAAGAAGCTTAGGCAACCTGTCTATTCTGGAAACTTACAAATGGTAGAGGTGGGATTTGATTTAGATAGCTGTAACTCCAGAGCGCACATTCTTCTTCTTCTTCTTCTTTTTTTTTTTTTTTTTAAGATTTATTTATTTATGCTTACAGAACTGGGGTACAGGCTAGAGGTGTGGTGGGTGAGTGGATTCACCACAGACAGAGTGGGGAGCAGAACAGGCAGATTGACAAAGTACACTGCTGAGTGGAGCAGCGGGTGGGTCAGAGGAGGTCTGCCACGCCATGTGGGTCAGCTCCCTGGCTGGGGATCGAACTCATGCTGCAGTACTGTGCTTTGCAGAGCTTCAGCATGCAGTGCTTTAACCTGTTGGCCACCAGGGAGAGCCTAGAGCCCACAATCTTAATCATCATCTTTAGTTTGTGTTTTGGCTCACCTAGTATTGAATCTTTATTGCAGTTTTACTAGCATGAAATTTTTCCTAGAAAACTTGTATTTACTTGTCAGTACCTATTTTTTATCTTCTACCTTGTGTGGTTCAGTTCTATAGTCTGCTTTCAAGGGTTTGTTGTTATCTGACCCACAGTTTGGTTCAAGGGACCATCTGGCACTTCTCTTTCTCCTTCTGGCTTACTTCACATAACCCCTTCCCACTTCATCCCTGTTGCTGCAGATGGCAAGAGTATATGTTTTGATTGCTGAGTAATATTCCATAGTGTATATAAGCCAAGCCACCCTGATCTACTCCTCTGTTTTAGGGTACTTAGGTTGTTTTCCTAGTTTGGCTGTTGTAACTAGTGCTGCAGTAGACATGGGAGTGGATGTTCCTTTTTGGGTTAGTATTTAATTTTTCAGGTAGGTGCCTAGGGGTGGACTTAGTGGATTTTATGGCAGATCTTTTTAATCTTTTGAGATTATCTTCATCCTGCTTTCCATAAGGGCTGGACCAGTCTACATTACAACCAGCTGGGCAGGGGGCTTCCTTCACTCCACACCCTTGCCAGCTCTTAATGTTTCTGTAGGTCATTTTCACCAGGATGAGGTGATATCTCTTTGTGGTTTTGATTTATGCTTCCCCAGTAAGTGATGAAGCACATTTTTGTCATATGCCTGTTTGCTCGCTCTGAGTCTTTGGAGAAGTGTCTGTTTAGCTCTTTTGTCCTTTATTTTTTTAAAAAAATTAGTATTTATTCCAGGTTCAGGTAAAAACAATAATAATTTTTAGTATGTCATAGTATACAGTAAAATAGCACAATAATTCTGCCCATTTCTTATTGGGTTATTTTCTTTTTGTTGAGTTGTATGAGTTCTTTGTATATTTTTGATATCAGTCCACATTAGTAATTCATTAACTGTTCCTGGACTAAGACTATGATTGTCCTTCATGTTTTTTATCTTTGTATCTGTAAAAATCAGTGTGGATGCTCCAATAGTGTTGCTGATTCTATCTCTGGATTGCAAAAGCTTCTCAGAGGACATGGCATTTGTGGTGTATTTGAGTGATAAAAAGGAGTTTCTCAGGCAGGGAAGATTGATAGGAAGGGGCCATCCAAGCAGAGGGAATCCTCTGAGTAAACAAGCTTGACAATTTAGGGCATGGTGAATAATGTCCTTTGAGAAGATACAGGCGGGTTGTAGGGAGAGACTGAGCTGGCTAGGAATGCAGGGAGGGGAAGTCAGTTGTAAATAGTGGTAAGAGGCCTTGAATACCTTGAAGAAGCATTTGCAATGTTCTTTTTAAAAAATGTGATGTAGAAGGGAATGGTGATTTTTTTGAGCAACTTGTTAAATTTCCATATACTTGTACCTTAAATTTTTAAAATATACTCAATAATAGCATAGAGTGCATTTGAAAGGAAGAAAAATCGGTGTTGGGAAAATGAGGTTGGATACATTTCTGAGCAGTAGATGAAGGCGTCAGCTGAGGCAGTGGTTCTGGAAACCTTGTTCACATAAATAGATGGAAATGGCAGAGTTATAGAAAGTCAAGTAATGTTCTTAAAGGTCATGTTTTGTGATCGGCTATAACTACAACATAAAAGTCTTTATTAGATTTTTTTCAAATCAAGGTAGTGAGAATCACTTAACTTGCAAAACATTTAGGTTAGTGGACTCTTTCTTAATGCTCTTTGACACGCAGTGTTTTCTACTTTATGATAGTGCACCACTGTACTTTTTTAAACATTAGACAGGTCACAGGAAATAACATAACTAATGGCTGACTGAAATGGAGTTCATTGTATGAGACTGGGTATTACAAACTAACTTTCATTCTCTCAAGCAGCTCAGTTTTAGGTAGCACTATGTAAAAAAGTTGAGAATTAGGAAGGGTCTATAAAACCTGTCACTCGTATTGCTTAGCTCTTCAGATGCTTCTAGCATACAGGTGCACCAGTTCACACACGCTGCACGGGGGTGGGGCCCTGTCTGTAATGATGAAGCACTTAGACTAGCATCTTAGGTAAAGTTAACAGAACTTGAGGATAGTCTCTTCAGCATTAGGATATTCTCTTCAGCATTACTTTTGGTGGATTTGTTTGTATTTCTATAAGCATCAAGAATGTTATCTTCTTTAAAAAGCTAAAAATACAGTAGTTTGACTAGAAATGCTAAATGTATTTCTTGTATTCTCTTGCAGTTAAGTTTCTGTGTCATGTAATTATACTTAATTGTGTTTAAATGTTTAGTTATATTTTGAGAAATCCACATTAAACACTTCCTGAGCACCCTTAATGACATTATAGTGGTAAACACTTAAGAAAGCAGCCGGACAACACAAATGGGGCAAGTTGCACTGTATTTCACAAGCCCTATTGTGGTTTTTGTTTCTTACTTATATGAAGATTAAGGTTGTTGTAAGAAACAAAGAATGTTTTCCATCAAGTTGGAGATAGTTTCATGGAATTTTTGAGAGAAGTTCGGTGTATAAAAGAGAAGATCTTCCCATTTAAAAAAAAAAGGGGGGGGGGGCCCCCCCTGGTGGCGCAGTGAGTTAAAGCCCAGCACTAAGAAGCTAAAGCCACTGCAGCATGAGTTCGATTCCCACCTGCCCTGGAGGTGACCACATGGCGTGGCAGACCTGACCCGCCCGCTGCTCCCCTCAGCAGTGTACTTCATCAGTTGGCCTGTTTTGCTCCCCACTCTGTCTCTGGTGAATCCTCTCACAGTCCCCACTCCTTTGGCCTGTTCTCCAGTTCTGTATGCATAAACAAATAAATCTTAAAAAAATTTATTTTTCAGGTGGATTTGACTAAGTTATAGTGTCCCGGTCTAACTGAATTATTAAGGTAGATACATTTAGGACCATGGACTGTCTCTGACATTGTTGAAAGGTCCCAGCTACCAAGTTATTTAAGGAATGAAAGTCACAGGAGATAGGAACATTTATGTTGATTTTTCTTAACATTTTTGTTTTTGTTAGTGATTATGTTAATATGGTAGCATGATGCAGCATGTTTCTCCAGTCACACATAGAACTTGTGGGAATTCAAATACTATTCTCATCAATGAATAGGCACAAACTTCAAGGTGAAAGGAGGCAGCAGAACCTACTACTCCTTAACCTACTACTACATAAGCTACTAGTGTAGCTTATGTCCTCATTGGCCTCTCAGTGTATCCTGCTGTACAGTGTAATTCTGTTCAGATACATATTTTTTTTTACACAATATAGTCATGGTGCTTCAAAGATAATTTTTCTCTAAAAAAGTTATGTTATGGAAATCTCTGTCTTCAATGAGGCATTTCCTCATGGACTGTGTAAGGGTAAGTTTGACTAAATGTGATTTCTTGTCATTTAGAGATTTTTGAACCTAACCTCTCAAGATAGGGTCCATTACTTAGGGGCTGAGTATTAGAAAAAAGAATTTATGTGGGGGTCTCTTGTGTTTCAGAGTACTGCAAGAAATAGGGAAGAAATACTATTTACCTCATTGATTCTTTCTAGGAATGTTATTCTTTTTCACATCCTTTTTCCCCCCCCTTTCTCTAGTTGTGGCAATTTATGATTATACAAAAGACAAGGAAGATGAGCTGTCCTTTCAGGAAGGAGCCATTATTTATGTCATCAAGAAGAATGACGATGGTTGGTATGAGGGCGTTATGAATGGAGTGACTGGGCTCTTTCCTGGGAATTACGTTGAGTCTATCATGCATTATTCTGAGTAATACTCAGCAGGGCTCTATTTCCCTCCCAGAATAGTCAGGTCTTCCCAGATTATGAAAAGGCCCTGGGGATTCCCCCTCCAATGAAATGAATGAAGGATACAAATGATAAAAACTACTTAAGTTTTTGGTTTATCCCCCAGTATTAAACAAAAAGCAAGCCGAGGCTGGATAAATGGAACTTGCTGCCTTCACTTGTACTACGCTGAGCTGTCTGGATTGAAATAAAGTGAGCATTTTTGAATGTCAGAGCATACCTATGTGAAACGAATCAGGTTAATACTGATTCAGAAAAGCATCTGGGATCTTTCTCAGGAATACTGTACACTCTTGGGATTTCTCCTCCTGCAGAACCTGTGGCATTGGATGTTTTCAGTGCCTGTGCGAAGGGGTTAGCCTCTCGGTCAAGTGTGTACCCCAGCTCCACTTTCTTCCAGTTGTGTGAGGAGGGGACTGATATTTAAAAATCATACTTAACCCTTTTTATAACTGTTTCGGATGGCATATTTCTTCTTTAATGCTGTAAATTCTGCATTTTCTCAGCACTAAAGTGCACCAGAAGAGTTAATGCTGAACTGACTTGCATCCCTTCATGTTTCTCAGTTTGCGGATTATGAGGCTGATGAAATGTGAGTCTCAAACATTCTGAGGGTGTTTTAACAGTTGCCAGTTTGATTTTAACGTGCTGCTGCTGCATGAGTCTGCATTGCCATAGTGGCCAGTGTATCCAGGTGTGTGAGTGTGGTAGGCTGGTTACATGTTCAAGGAGCCACACAAAGCTAGACACGAAGATTCCTAAGGTTTTGAAGATACTGACCTTTAGAAATGTCCTGCTCAGACAGGCATCCTAAATCCTTGCCATAGATGCTGTTTTGAGGAGTAGGATCTTGGAGGTCAGACCAACTGTTTCTTCATTTCACTGTTTAGAAAATCTTCATTTCACTATTTAGGAAAATAGTGTTTTTTTTTTAATAGTTAATTTCATGTCTCTTGATGGTCTCTGGGAATGAAAGGGTTGCTACTGTACTTCCTGAATGTTATTAATGGCCACATGGTTAGCTGTTTAATCACTTAATTCTATAAAAAGTAATGTTCTCCTGATTTTGTGTAACTGCCCTATGGAGTAGCTACTCCTGGTGAAAATTTGAAACCTGTATCACAGACTAAGTATAGTAGAATAAGGCCAACTACTAACCCATCCTTATAAACATTTGTTTTAGTTTGAAAATTTTTTTTTTTAATCTGTACACTTAACAGTTTCAGATCCAGTGGCGTCTGTTAGGAGGATGACTTTAATCATTTCTATATTTGATAGAAGGAATATTAAAATCCAGGGGTTCTTGATACTCAGCAGGTCAACACTGTGAGGAGCATTCAGCTCAAGGTCAGGCCCCAAACTGTCCTGAGTTTTTCCTGCTTTCCAGTGAGTTGGCCAGAAGAGAGCTTTGCCAGGTAACTTCCTGAGCAGGGGTAAAGGGGACAGAAAAATGCATGTATTCCAATGGTGGGCCTCGGGCATGATGGTGCAGATAGGGGAACAAGATGGAAAGATGAACAGGTATAGCAGTGTATGAGGGAAGTTGATGTAGGCAGAATATTCCCTTTGTGAATCTGAAAGCTGAGAGTTAGTATCATCAACAGAGATATGTACAGTCTTACCTTATGAGGTCCTTGTCTTGTTTCCAACTCCCTCCCCTGCCATTGTAAGTTAGCAGTTTGCTTTGGTTTCTCCAACACATTAGCTTTCATTAACTTGCCTCCAGGTGACGTTCGACTTTACACTTTTGTTAGGTCATTGGTTACCTTTTATTCCTGTTTCCTTCAAAGTAGTAGCTGTCAGTGCTCAGTGAGCCTTCATATGAACCAACACAGAACACACTTAGGTAGTTTCCACCTAGTTAGTGTATGGCTTGGTAGAGTTGTAAAACAGGTGACCCAATTATTTAAGTAACTTTTTACTAAGAAAGTTTAGTGGATTAATAAGGTAGTTTATTTTGAGATCTCACAAATAGTCCCCACAGCTAACAGCTACAGGAGACAATTGTAAAACTTTGGTGTCAGTGAGCTGGCCCCCTGGGCTTGCTGAATCCAGGAATGTGAAGAAGACACCTGGGAAGGTCTTTGTACTTAACAGTCCCCAGCAGGGGCCTGTGGGTCAGCTGTTTTCTTCCCATATTATTTAGTGTAATGTGGGTATAATTTTTGTTTTTAAAGATACCTGTTTGATTTTCTGAATACTTTAAAATTCTGAATTGTGTATGTTGTCTTGGAGGGGATATATGTAATGATGGGCCAGGCCTACACTAACTAGAGACTTAATATATGTAATATTTCATAGATTGCATGCAATTAATAGTCTGTGAGGATACTATTTTTTTTGTTTGTGAATTCCCCCCCTTTTTTTTTATAAATTACAAGATGTTAGTAGAAGTTCCAAGTAAACACAGAAATCTATGTGCTATATAAAAGGCAGCAAAGATGATCCAGTCTAAAACCTGCTGACCAGCAAGCAGCCATTTTATTTCAATACAGGAAACCTTGAGGGGATCTTTTCCACCCTCTAAGTAATTATTTTTGACTTATGTCCATCCCTTTCCCTTATTTGGAAGAGATATTTGAATGTCTTTCTCAGTATTTTCCATCTTTCTGCTAGCCCTCCCCATCCTAGGTTTAGCAAGCACCTGTTTTTACTGTTCCCAAATCAGTAGATGGGGTGAGACATTTTTATCCCATGTTTCCCCCTCCTGCTGCTATTTTCCACCCAGCTAGAATGTTTTCATGCATTTTTAGTAGTTATCTGTAATGTATCTGTGCTCATTAGCAGTCTTATGTTGATTAAAGATTTTTCTGCTTGAGTTGTATCAAAATGATGGTCGTTTGCTTTTATCTTTTGTGTTTATTTTCTTTTTAGCAGGTGATCTTTCTGCAGTAAGAACTGTTTTGTTTTTAATTAACTTTCTCCTTGGTGGAGAATGTAAGCCATGTCCTGAAGGCCACCTTTCCCCTTGAAAAGGGTTTGCATGGAGGAATGGGCAGGTTACTGTCAAATCTTTGAAAATAATGGGGATCTGAATTACTTTCCACCAGTTCACTTTTGACCATCTTTGGCCAAGAACTCCTGGTTTGTGTTAAGGTGATGATTAACTTTACATGAAATTACAGAATTTTAGAGCTAGATGATTTTTGAAATTCTTTTCATTTTATTGATGAAGATAGGTATTTCATTTCAGATTAACAGCTAGTGGAGTCCCTGGTGCAACGCAGGCCGGTCTTCTTTCTGCAGTTGTGTTAATTGAATGTGCTTTGTCTTTTAAGAGTTCTACTTGATTGATGTCTTCAGGACGATACTTGAAAAGCTGTGCCATGTTACAGTAAACACCTTAAAAGTATTCAGACTTCTTAAAGGAGCATAGTAAGTGTAATTTTAGTGAAAAATATTTTAACTTCTGAAACCACTTAAGTACAAATGGTCTTTTCAATACAGTGCATGTAGCATAAACATTCAGCAACTGGTAGGAGCACAGCAACAAGCCCAAGCCCTTATAAAACAGCTCAAAGGCATTATGCTCATCTTAAGTTTCTTATTGTGAATCTCAAAATTGAATCATGAAATGACAGGGCCTAGCTGTGTATAAATGATCCTTGCTAAAATATCTTTAAGGTTTTTGTAAAAAGCAAAACTTATTTTCACATTAAAACAGATGTTTTTTGCAACCTCACAATTCTATGGAAAAGCAGTTTTTATCATATTGTGTCCATACATCTTTTAACAATTTCTGACCTGGCCAGTTGTACTTTAAGCCCCCAACGGGAGGTGTGGTATTATGAGTTGAGTGCAGGGAAACTTGAGGGAGCAGTTTGTTGCCAGTGATGTTTTTGTGTGCCACCTCCAGATGAGTGGGGGGGAACGTTTTTTAATTTTGGAATTGTATTTGGCATTGTTGAATTGTTGCAGTGTACTACGAACTTGACCTAAATAAAATCCCACAAAGTATATTAAAGTGTCTTGTGAATAATGTGTTTATGTACTCTATATACTATATATATAGTTTTGTGATAAAGGAAATCTGAGGAATACTCCACTAACATTTTTAAGTATTTCCAAGAGAAGGGGCTGTGTAGTTTGATTAAGAAATGCAAGCCCTGATAAACGTAGTCTCAAAGTTTAGTATCCAACTTGTCGCTATTCTGGAGTGATACAGCTGGTTGCAATGCTCTGTGGTTCTGTTGTCTTCACAGCCTGCTTTTACTGTACACTTCTTCCTCTGCAGCCAAACAGAGGCAGATATGACAGACGGTGAGTGAAGGAGCGCTTCTTTTACTGTAGTTTGATGAATACATGTTCTGATATTAAAGCCTTGAAACAAAAAAACTTAAGTGTTTAGATACTGCCAACAAACAGCAAAATTAGGTAGGTTCTTAGCTGTCGTGCTCCAAGTAAAGTCCCCACGTTTAAATGAAATTCTACTTTTTTATTAAGGATTGTGTGAGGTGACATAAAAATGTAACTGAAAAATTCACACTGACTGCTGTGCTAATACAATAGTTTACTGACAAGAATGACTTGGAATATAACTTAATCCAGCAGTAGAACAAAAACATCAGTAGTATGGAATATATCTCTCTCATATATCTATATATAGCTATATATATATATTTATATCTATATATAGGTTTGCACAATCGGGGAGCAAGGCACATATGAAATGAGCAAACATTTGAACAGGAACGAAAAAAACAGCAAAAGGAAAGAAGTAACTTCATTTTTACCAAACTCTTCATAATCATTTGAATGTCCTCTACTGAGTAATTTATAATGCAGTTATTTTGCCTTTTCATGCTTTTAAAAAAGTATATTACTACATTGTATCTTTATTGATGACAAAGTTCCCACAGCCTAAGAGTCAATGTCAGATTTTTTTACAGAAATGGGAAGACTGAATCCCAATTAAATATATGTGCAATTTTTCTACACAGTAAGTGTTTTTACAACAGTTAGCACAATAATGTATTTTAATGTACATTTCTATAAAAGGAATTCACTAGTGGCTAATAAAAGTAAGCAAAATCATCAGAAACATTCCAGTTAGGATTATTTACAAGTTAGTGAAGAGGTGGGATCATGAAAAAAAAATGGCAGTTTTTGGTATTAGGTTACAATCTAACAATGGACAATTCCCAAAATGAAAAGATTTTTTTCAAGTGGCACAAAAGCATGTTCTGCCTAAGAAGAGGTTGAGGTTTCAGCAATCATGAGCTTGGTTAATATATCCACGATCAACACACTCATGTCTACACCCAGCCACCTTTGCACACACAGAAGTCACCTCCACCCTGACTGGACTCACTTTTCTAAATGTCTTTGGTAGAAAGTAGCCAGACTCCAGGTAGGTAGATGAAGCCATTTCCTTCCTGTAAGCCAGTCACCGTTTCTGCCCTAATGAGAGACATTTCCTTCTCTCCTTAGCACCTCAAAAGTTTGTGTGTTTTTAATGCTATTCCTCCAAGCGTTCAAGGCACTGGGGATTAGAGCAGATACTGTTTTGTCTTTTAAATGGTTGATTACTTCAACAAAGCAAAGAGCAAAGCAACTGGAGATTCCCCCCCACCCCCATCACATGTTTATGTTTTGCTTAAGTCTACAGCTATGTTTCAGATTTCTGTTACCCTTAGACCCTCCTACGGGCACAAATACGAACCAAGCACTGTTTGGTTTGCAGACTGGTAAGGTGTGGAATATTTAGTTTTCTTGCATCTCTGCGGATTGAGTCTCAGCTTTGTGAGGAGTCACATTCCTACAGGCTAAGGGGTAACCCATCTCTTACCAGTGACATAAAGTGTACAAACACAAAACTCAGTGCCAGAAGGCATTTGCAATCTATAGTGGTAATTTAGAAAATAGATACTGTCTCATTAAGTGCATAAATCCAAGTTATCTTACAAGGAAAAATTTTGTAATAGTAAAAAGATTACTGAAAATCACCTGTTTGTAACAAACTAGCTTTTAAGGGTTCTTCTGTTGTTTCCAGACCATTTATAACCTGTCCTCAGCACAAGCTCATGGCAGTTGTACTCCCACTAACCTTTACTTCAGAGCTGTCCTTCTGACGGGATGGTTATCCACGATCCCCCAATTTTGTCTTTCTTGATAAACTTGGTATTGCTTTCAGTGGCACGTAACCTTGTATCACAGGGAGACTGAATCCACCATCAGTAGGCAAGAGCTCCTTAGAGGACTGTAAAACACCGTTGTATCTGTTACTTTGAGACTGAACTTCCAAATTTTCTGATGAAAATTATTTCCCATTTTAAAAAGTCAGTTCTCAGGAATTGAAAAAGTCCAGCTTAAAGCTAAGAGGGTAGGTGTAAAAACCTGAAGAGTTACTTTTCCCAAGTGAGAGTTTTAGCAGCTAAGAAAAAACCGTCTAAGTAGTAAAAGCCAAGCTGACAACATTTCAGTATAGACTGGTCTAACATTACTACCAATGAGCCTAGTATCAGTTATTTTACTGAGCATAAACCTGCTGCCTTTCAGAGTTGGTGCCAAGACTTAAGTACAGTAGGGTGATCAAATTTGGAAATGATGGGAAAAGTGAAGGGTGTCACTAGCTCCCTTAGGCACCTGTTTGCACTGCCTCCATCCATAGCAGGATGATTTCATCTATGCTGTTCATCTTTCAGTACAGAGACACTGTCCACATATTCTTCTTTGACTTGAAGAAGCCATGCCGGGGTTAGAGCTGCTGAGCAGCAGGCAGTGAAGGAAGGCACAGTACTAGTGTCGTCTGGCAGGTAGGTATTTTCCATGAACATACCAGAGAAAAAGAACAGTTATAAAAATAAGTCTTGTCCCACCCCATCCCCCAAACTACATGCCTAATAAAAATCCAAATTAAAAAAAAAATCCACTTAGAGAATCTATCATTTTGGTTTTTTGATTTTTATACATTAAAAAAAAGTCAATTAAGTTAAAAAGACAGTCTGTCATTAGGTCAAGAGTGGCTCTGGCCCTACTCTCTTGATGTTCCTGGTTTTAAATAGGTCTGGTCTTTCAGGAAAATGACTCATTAGAAACATCAGTACAGGATGGCCATTATCAGGACTGACAAGCAAGAATTTCCAGGAAACCCCATGCTGAAAAAACCAAAGTCTGTATCTTAGGGTTCTAATCATGGGTGACGGAAGATTGAGGGTACACTGTCATAGTTTCCCTTTCACTAAAAAAAAGACCTCTGCAAGCACAAGCTCCAGTGAGGATTATGAATCACTGAGTTCATTCTTAACAACCGCAATATAAAGCTGCAGGGAGAGACTATGAGACGTAACTTCACTCATGAATTACAGTGGAGTTTGGCAATCTGTACTCAAATGTTACCCAGGCGGTACATGCTTAAATGGACAATGCAGATGCATTAAGCGTCACTTCAGAAGCTTATTGAAAACGGACATTTGTGAACGAATGAAAAATATTTTGAAGAAGGGCTTTAAAAATGCACAATGGTATATATATTTACTTATTGCTCTATAGCCAAATGACTCCACTCCCGTCAAGGAGAGGGGGCCAGTTCCTTTCTCTGTGCTGCAACACTGCCTTGCAGCTTACTTTGCCTTGTGTACACAATACAACTTTTGCTTATCCTTGAATTACTCTCTGCCCCACTGTACCGGCAGTCCCCTGTGGGACGCCGCCAGAGCTCTCTGCAGTTTGCTGTGGTAGTCCGTCCAACAGGCACAGGCTTTCATGAAGATGTGCTCACTTATTGCTGGGATGACTGGTTTTGATTCCCTTGTTTAAGAGCAGTGTCTGACATGGTGTTTTTTCTTGATGGTCAATCTACCATCATAAACTGATGAGGCTACACTTCCTCTTACACACCAAGGGAAAATTACACGGGGAAAAAGCATATAGTGTTGTGAAACATAGAAATAGTTGTCATTAGAGCAGTGATTTCATGTGACATGGCACAGATAATGTCACTTACGGTATTTAGACTACATCACTCTTATTAGAACACCCAGCAATAAGGCTAATAAGCCAGGATCCTGTAGTCTGTCATGATGGTGGAAATTCAAAACTTCCCTCTGTAGAGTCAGTCCCATACGTCAAAATAAGTCCTTTTGATTGCACAGTGGCCAACTTTTCCAGTCACTCATCCTTCAAGAGCAATACACACACAAAGATGCTTTTCTTTGAAGGTGATTTTTTCTTCATACTGATGGCACCATACTGGGCACAGGATGTATATATTGATAACAGCAATTGTCTACAGGTATCTATTATCAACATCTACCTAAAGCACACACTAAGTTACTGGTGACCCAAGACATGTGGGGCAGAGCATTCCAGGGGTAATGTGTCAGATTTTTTTTTTACAACAAAGCAAAGATCACGAAGCCAAGCTTGAAGTTTTCACAAAGCTGATGAAAAGGATTCTGACAGTGCAGAAGAGCTATCCAGGCTTGTAGCCAAGTTATCCCGGTTGGCAGGCACAGAGCCTACCTGTGACGGGACGCGGCCTGGGTCGGGTGGGATCACTGCAGCAGCACCGCACCGCACCTGGGTGGCTTCGAGGCGCCACGGGTTTACCCTCCACACACAACTACGTACAGTGTCTGAGAAGTCCCGACGGCACCAGTTACCTTTTATGAAGCCGAGATGGACTCCAAGTGCCCCCTTAGGTGTAGCAATGAAGTGTGGGTCAAGCAGTTCTAGCTCAGCCAACGGGAAAAGACGAAACACAAAAGCCCCATCAATGCACCAAGTACTCCGGTTGTCATCTCAAACTGAGAAACAGCACATTATACACCTAGTCCTTAATATATAATATAAAACATGCACAGAGAGGCCGCACATGGACAGACTTAAAAATACCGCTCCAACCCACATGATAAGTGAGACCGCATACATGCCGCTTCCACCCCAAATACACAGAGCTCATCTTCAGGTTAGGAGAGGAAAGGAATAAATAGGCTCATTCTCAGCTATATATATACATATACACACGTATGTATACATATATATAGACATCCACACACACAGCCGGACACTACCTGAATTACAACATACCAGGAGGCTCTGAACACCTGGACTCGAGCGACCAGGCGAGCTGATTGTAGAACTGATTACAGATCCCATGAAAATAAAGTCCTATGGTGGCTACCAGTCCCTGGAGAGCTTGGTGTTCTGGTCTCTCTTGGGGGGCGCGGGAGGGGGTCCTCTCCGCAGCGTCGCATAGCCCGATATGTGGCTGCCTCCGAAGCCGGCTTTCTGCTGCTCAGAAAGCAGCTCGGGGGGCGGCGGCGGCAGAGCCATATCATCCATGGTGGCCGTGGGCTCTGCTCTGGACATGCGGGAGGAGGAGAGCGAGCCGTGCCGGGTGATGGACTTCCGCTGCAGTGTCCGGTTGAGGTCGGCCAGGAACCCGGGCTGGACACTAAGGCTGGATTTGGGAGAGGTGGGCACTTGCGGCGCGGCGGGGGCCGGGGCCGGCGGCTCGGCGAGCTCCGCCTGGGTGAGGCGCGTGCTGTCGTTGCGCTTGGGCCGCGTGGGCGGAGGGGCCTTCCTCACCGACGCCTTGGACCACGGCTGTGGCTGAGGATTGACAACTGCCACCTTGGGAGAGGTGTTTCCCGAGAACACGGGCGGAATCTCCACGGGGGGCAGAGGAAGCTCCGTTTCAGGCGGAGGGGGTGGGAAGTCAGAATCGGAGGGAGGAGAAGGGAACTCTGCCCGCGAGTCCTTGCCGCGTCCGCTCAAAGCAGACACCTTTGCTGACACACCCCCTTGCTGGAGGACGCCGGGGAGGCTGACGCCGGAGAGGTTCAGCTTTCCAGGTTTCGGGGGTGCCGTAGGAGGCGGTGGGGTCTCCTTGCTGGGGGACCCTGAGGGTTCCGCGGGGGATGCAAACTTGCTGACCAGGCTGTCTACCGAGGGCCGCTTAGGCTCAGGGTGCTCTGCACAGCTGCTGGACTTGATGCTGGAGTTTCGCTGGGGGGTGGGGGGCGGTTTCTTTGCCCCAGGGCTAGAAGTCTTACTGGTCTTTTTGCACGGAGATCCACTTCTGTCAGCAGCGGGAGAGGCTTTGGGCGTGGCAGGTGGTGGCGGCGGAGGTGGCGGAGGGGCTGGGGCTGGGGCAGGTGGTGACGGTGGTGGGGGAGGAGGAGGGGGAGGAAATACCAGGCTGCTCTCAGGAGGAGGAGGAGGGAAATCTGGGGAAGGGGCGGGGACAGAGCTGGGCTGCCACTTGGGCTTGGCCTTCACAGCAGGAGGGGACTGTGGGGCCAAGTTGGCTGGGAGGGGCTTCAAGGGCTGCGACTCCAGGGGAGGGGGCGTTGGAGGGGGGGGGAACTGACTGGCCATCTGCTTCACCACCGAGGGCACGGGGGACAGGGGAGAGGGCGGAGGCTTCGCACAGAAGCTCTGCTGCTTGGGCAAGGTGGGTGGGGGGACTGGGCCAGGAGGAGCAGGGGGAGAGGGGGGAATGTGAGCAATGGGGAAAACTGGCTGCTTCTTCGCAGGGGGGACTGGAGGAGTAGGAGTAGGTGGTGCAGCTGGTGTCGCTACAGGGGGCACAGCCTTGGTGCTGGCTGGGGCGGGGATGGTCACTAGAGGCTTGGGGGGAGCCTGGGGAGGGAGGGGTACGGGGCCAGGAGGCGGGGGCGGGGGTGTTGGAGGTGCCACCTGACTCACGTGAGCCTTCATTGGGGGAGGTGGGGGG